ATGCAGTGGACTGCAGTGTCACTAGCAAGTCCTGAACCAAACACGGCTGTGGCGGAAGGATTATGAAGCGTCTGGCTATTCAAAATGTGGCCCGGGAATGGAGTTCTGGGAACTCGAAGACCAGGAAGTGGACTAGAGTTGGCTCCGGGCATCCAAAATGTGGCCCAGGAATGGAGTTCTGGGAACTCGAAGAGCACGAAGTGTGTGACTGTTGCATCCGGCCCTCCGCGATGTGTAGAAGCATATCTGAAAGCATTCCCCTTAAGATTCAGATGAAAATCCAGTTGTCGAATTCTGCTGTTCTCGCAGTCGTAGTCGCATTCGCGATGACAGTCGCAGCGGCAACGGCAGTCGCAGTCACAGCCTCAGCCTCAGCCTGCCTCCTCCTCTCCTCCTCTTTCTCCTGCTCCTCCTCCTCCTCCTCCTCCTCCTCCTCCTCCTCTTCCTCCTGCTCGTCCTCGTTCTCGTCCTCCTCGTCTTGCTCGTCCTCCTCCTCCTGGTGCTCCTCCTCCTCCTCCTCCTCCTCCTCCTCCTCCTCCTCCTCCTCCTCCTCCTGGTGGTCCTCGTTCTCCTCCTCCTGGTGCTCTCCCCCCCCCTCCTCCTCCTCGTCCTCCTCCTCCTCCTCCTCGTCCTCCTCCTCCTCTCCTCCTCCTCCTCCTCCTCCTCCTCCTCCTCCTCCTGGTAGTCCTCCCCCTCCCCTCCTCCTCCTCCTCCTCCTCTTCCTGGTCGTCCTCGTTCTCGTCCTCCTCGTCTTGCTCGTCCTCCTCCTCCTGGTGTTCTCTCCTCCTCCTCCTCCTCCTCCTCCTCCTCCTCCTCCTCCTCCTCCTGGTGGTCCTCGTTCTCCTCCTCCTGGTACTCTCCCCCCCCCTCCTCCTCCTCCTCCTCGTCCTCGTCCTCCTCCTCCTCCTCCTCCTCTCCTCCTCCTCCTCCTCCTCCTCCTCCTCCTCCTCCTCCTCCTCCTCCTGGTACTCCTCCCCCTCCCCTCCTCCTCCTCCTCCTCCTCCTCTTCCTGGTCGTCCTCCTCCTCCTGGTCGTCCTCCTCCTCCTGCTCGTCCTCCTCCTCCTCCTGCTCGTCCTTCTTCTCCTGCTCCTCCTGCTCCTCGTCCTGCTCCTGCTCGTCCTCGTCCTCCTGGTCTTGCTCGTCCTCCTCCTCGTCGTGCTCTTGCCCCTGCTGAAAATGTGGCCCAGGAATGGGAGTTCTGGGAAGTCGAAGAGCACGAAGTTGCCTACAGTTGGCTACGGGCATTCAAAATGTGGCCCGGGAATGGAGTTCTGGGAACTCGAAGAGCACGAAGTGGCCTACAGTTGGCTCCGGGCATTCAAAATGTGGCCCGGGAATGGAGTTCTGGGAACTCGAAGAGCACGAAGTGGCCTACAGTTGGCTCCGGGCATCCAAAATGTGGCCCGGGAATGGAATTCTGGGAACTCGAAGAGCACGAAGTGTGTGACTGTTGCATCCGGTTATTCTAAATGTGGCCCGGGAATGGCGTTCTGGGATGTCGATGAGCACGAAGTGTGTGACTGTTGCATCCGGTTATTCAGAATGTGGCCCGGGAATGGCGTTCTGGGATCTCGAAGAGCACGTTGTGTGTGACTGTTGCATCCAGGTATTGAGAATGTGGCCTGGGAATGGAGTTCTGGGAAGTCGAAGAGCACGAAGTGTGTGACTGTTGGTGAAAAACGAGCCCGGCACCTGCCGCCCGGCAACTCCCAACACCTGCCCGGACCCCCCTGTGGAGTGATCTGTGAGCTCTTTTGATCCCACTAGAAACCTATCAGTCTTCGCTGTTAGGTAAAGAGAGAGCGGACATCATCCATCGTAAAGTGGAACTGTTTGAATCCCACAAAGTAAGAACAGTTTTAATTTGTTTGATTAAAAACGTTGCCCACTTTGCGATGGATGTTCCCCGTCTTATTTCTCGCACGCACCAGGCGCGGAACAACCATATCGTAAAGTGGGCACGCCGGGGCGCGCCGCTTTGCGCGAAGTGCGCTCTGCGTGTGCGTCGACACGCTTAAACCGCACCCGCCCGATCGTTAATTGGGATCGCAGGGCAACCTAAACTGCGTTCCGCGTGTAAATTTATATTATAGAACTCGCCCCCCGCCGGGTCGTCAACGCGGTTTGTTGGACCACCCCCTACAGGCCCTTTTGGTATCGTCAGCCCCATATGTCCCCCACATCGCAGGTCGCACAAGTCTCACAGGCCCCGCGGGTCTCAATGGTCCCACAGGCCTCGCAGGTCCCACGAGTCCCACAGGTCCACAGGCCCCACGGCTCCCACAAGCCCTACAGGTCCCGCAGGTCTCGCAGAAGTTTCGCACGGGCCCCACAGGTCTTACAGGCCCCACAGCTCCCACAAGTCTCGTTTGTCGCACGGGTCGCGCATGTCCTGCAAGACCCACCGACCCCGCAAGTCGCCAAGGTCCCGCATGTTTCGCAGGTCTCACAACTCGCACAAGTTACACAGGGGCACACATTTCACACGCCCCACAGGACCCACAGGGCGGCACGCTAATACACGAGAGGGAATCGCGCGGAAACCCAACACTTAGGCAGAATTTCCCATCCCCATGAAAAAAGTTTACAACAGAAGTGGCACAGGGATGGAAGCCGACACGATGTTGAATCAGACCAGGATGGGCCCGTCGCATGAAGCGACGTCCGCGTGTCAATGTTACGGAACAGCGTCTCGTCTGCATTGGTCGCCACCGGGCGCGCAAGCCAAAGCAGGGCATATCAATAACTTGGCCCATGGTGCAGACCTGCACACGCTGCCGATATTGAAAGGCGAATATAACCTAATGATCCTCTATGGGCGCTGCCGTCTGCAGATTATTCAGGACGATCGTATTGTTGATTTCGGTATGGCTTTGTTCCCGGCTGTGTAATGGTGATGGCGATGGTGATGGTGGTGGTTCTAGTAATGATGATGAGGAGGATGGGTCCGAGGATGATGATGGTGATGGTGATGGTGATGGTGACGGTGATGATGCTGATGGTGATGCTGATGAGTCTGATGATGATTGTGGTGATAATTATGATGATGTGGACGTTTGTGGTGATGGAGATGATGATGATTATAGTGATGTTGATGGTAATGATGCTGGTTCTGCTGATGATGGTTATGCTGATGACGATGATGAGGATTATGATGTCGATGCTGAGTACGATGATGACGATGATGACGTGGATGCTGCTTTTGCAGATGATGATGTGATGGTGGTGATGATGATGATCGTGGTGATGATGATGACGACGACGACGATGATGAAGTGGTGAGGGCGATGAGAGGGTGAGGATGATGGGAAAGATATGAGGAGGTTGAGCAAGAGGTCGCCATTGCAAGTTCGCGCTTGAAATCGCTCTAACGTAAAATAACCAGGGCACACATTTGACGATCCATAGGAGATGGAGGAATAAGAGGATGAGGAGGAAGAGGAGGAGGAGGAACAGTAACAGGAGGAGGACGCGGAACAGGAGGAGGACGCGACGATGGAGGCCGAGGTGGAGCCTCCAAATTGGCGTTGCTGCTGCTCCTCTTCCTCTTGCTCCTCCTCCTCCTCGTCCTCCTCCTCCTCGTCCTCCTCCTCCTCGTCCTCCTCCTCCTCCACAGTCCCCTCCTCCTCCTCGTCCTTTTTCTCCTCCTCCTCCTTCTGCTCCTCCTCCTCCTCCTCCACATTCTTCCCACACAGTACGGTCGATTCCCCAATCAGCGCCTGCACTGAAAGCGGTCCTCGCCGAAGCTATAAGGACTTTGGCGAGAGCGGGCCGGTTTCGGTGGGCAGCCAGGCTCCCGCATTCCCGATTTCGGGGCCTGGGTTTTCATTCGATGCTTGGATTTATCGAACTCTGTTGGATTTCGCTGGGCAGCCGGGCTCCCCGGTTCCAAGTCTGTTTCTTTGTGGAAGGTCCGTGCCGATTCCAGCGGGCGAGTTTTCGGATTCTCGTAGCGAACGAGGAGAGAATAGAGAGAGTAGAGAGAGAGAGAGAGACCCTGGGGAGAAAGAGAGAGCGAGAGAGAGAGAGAGACACACAGAGAAAGGGTTTCATAGGAGGTTGTAGTTCGAGGAAGTAGAAACAATGTTAGCCAGAGTGGACACAAAGCCGTGATTTCTTGCAATCCAGGTGGTGCAATGAACGTGGTGCAATCTAGGGTGTGCAATCCGTGTGGCGCAACTTATGTGGCGCAAAGTAACGCAACGCAATACAAAGCACAGCATAGTCATGCAAAGCAATGTATAGCAATGCGAAGCACGGCAAAGCAATGCAATACAGTGTAAGGCAATGCGCAGCAACGAAATTCGATGCACAGGAATTCAAACCACTGCAAACCACTGCAAATCATTGTAATGCGATGCAATGCGAAGCAATGCGAAGCCTGCGATACCAAAGGGGGGTTGCAGCGGGGGGGGGAGCGAGGGGCAACTGGGCTGCGGCGAATGATGGGAAAGGGGCCGCCGTGCCAACAGACGGGCCCAATTCCTTAGAAGGGGAGTAAGACACTCAAAGGGAAAACCTTATTTGGGGAATCTATCAAGCGGAGAGAGAGAGAGAGAGAGAGAGAGAGAGAAAAAAACATAAACCTATAAAGAAAGAGAGAGAGAGAGAGAGAGAGAGAGAGCATTGAGTATAATGCGAAGAGTATGTAGCACGCATCAGAGAATAGAGAGCACGGAACAGAGCACAGAACGCCTGCAGAAAGCAGAGAGCATAGAGTAGAAGGCAGAGAGTGGCAAGTAGAGGGCGGAGGGTAGAAAGGACATGTAGAAGGGGAGGGTGCACAGTAGAGAGTGGGAGCAGAAAAAAAAACAGCTAACCGAAATCAGATAACCACATTCATCACCCCGTGCCCTCGCCAACCACGAGCGCGCTGCCATTCCATCTTGCGCACGTGCGAACAACTGATGTGTCAGTTCTCGGTGCAATTCCAACGCCCGCCCATCCCATGTCATGCCATTCATCCATTGTCATTTGCACCCTCTATCCATCCAGCGGTCAGTTCGGCATGTGCTGGCAGCGGGGCTTCCCAGGGTGGGGGTATGTACGCTTCCCCCCCCTCACTGCCTACCTGCCTGCTCCCCGACAGCCGTTTTGGCTCCGTCTGCCGAGGGGCATGGGCACCGCGGGCCATGGCGGCCGTGCCGCTGCTGCTGCCGGGCGCAGCGGCAGCCGCGGCGGCGGCCGTCGCCGCCAAGCACTGCTGCAGCTGGATCGCGCACCGCGCTCGCCGGGCGGCGCACCACCCAGCGGTGCTCAGAATCCGTTCGCCGATCCCCATCCCCACTGGGCCATGGTACCTCAGCTCCACCATCCCACCATCCCAGTTGTTGGGGATAGGCCCCTCGACACCCGAAGGGAGCAGCCTACATCCCCATCCAGGGGGGTAAATCGGCCAGTGGGGCCCAGGCCACTCCAGTGGGGAATGGGGGTCGGCGAAACGGAGGTCAGAGGAGGGTCGAGGATCGATGCCGTCGATGCCTCTCGAAGCATCGAGGATCGAGGAGGATCGAGGATCGAAGAGGACCGAGGACCGGTGAAGCGGTGCTCAGAGGTGCTCTGCCCTGCGCCGGCGGCGGAGGGCGGCGGCCACAGCCGCGCACCGTCCGCCCAGGGCCCACCGCCGCAGGTGGGGAGCTCACGCCGCGCGCGCCTGCCATCCTCCCCCCCTGTCAGTACGGTAGGTTTCAGTCGGGCTTGTCCCTCTACAGGAAGAAAGTTCAAACATAGTTCAACCAATAGTCAGGGGACGATTCTTGACTATGTTTGACCATTTTTTTTTGCATTGTTGATTTTTCGTCCAAAATCGGCCTGTAGGGGGACATGCCCGACCTACCAGTAGGTTCATGCGGCGTTGGCGCGCCGGCTACGCCAGCGAAGGCGTTCAAGATCGAATTCTGCGACGCGGGACGCATCGAGGGACACGGTGGCGCCACCAGACCCGACGGAATTCAACCTCGAACGATCTGGGCTGCGTTCGATTCAAGGTTGAACGATCGACGAGGTGTCGAAAACCTTTGCGCGCGCCAACGCCGCACGAACCTACCGCAGGTCGACCCTGCCAAATCAAGTGTACTCTCGTGTCGGCGACCCATGCCCTCCGCACTCCTTTGGCAGTATGGCTCTCGGAAGGGGTCTCGTGTCCCCCTCGCGTGTCCTCTCCAGTCAGCCCTGACTGGGCCCTCCTCCCTTCCTAAGCTTGGGCCACGAGGGATGTGCACACACGCCGGACCCATCCTGGGCCCAGGATCGGCGCACATGCCTCCCCGGCCGTGGGCCCAGGATGGTCCAGGCCAGGGCCAGCGCATACACAAACAGTCAGGGTTCTACCAGAAGGAACGCTGAGTAAGGAACCAAGCGGCTTTTCAGACCATGGCGAGCCTCGGCCACGAATAGGTTCCACGACCCAGATCCAAGGAGCGGCCCCCCCAAAAACAGAGCCCCTCCTGAGCCCGAAGGGGTCCTTGTTTCAGCGTCTTGACTGCACCTCCCCCCTCTTGAACCGCGGGGCTCCGGCTCTGGGGCGAAGGGGGCGGAGTCCTCTGGCGCGGGCGCGGGAGCTCTCCGGCAGGGCGAGGGCCCGCCGGGACAGAGGTGCGGCGGCGCCGCGGGGGCGTGCCCCCAGGCAGGCGCGCCGGCGCCGGCGCAGGCTGCGGGTGCGTCGAGCCCGTCGGAGAAGAGCGCCTCTGCTCCAGGAGGGTCCGCAGGAGAAGGACTGGCTCGTACGCATCAAGGGCGTTCCCTGGGCATCGTGACCCTCGTGCGTGGGGTGGGGGTCGCCAGGCGAATCTGCTGCCAGTGAACCCGTGGCCCCGCAGTCCCCAGAGGCCCTTGCATGTGTGGGATGGGGTTCCCGAGCCGATTCGGCTGCCAGTAGCCTCAATTGGTGCCCCTGGTTCTCGCGGCCATCACGCGGGGGTATCGGGCGCAGGGTGTTGGGGCTCACAAGGCGAGACGGTTGCTCGTTGCCTGTGGCACCCCGTCCCCGGACCCCCGTGCTCAGGAGGATCCTGGCCCACGCGTGCGGTGTGGGGCTCAGGAGTGGACTTGGCTGCCCGTGGCACCCTCGCGTGCAGGCCTGGATTCGCGAGGCGATTCTGCTGTTCGTGGCCGCACGGTGCTGCGGCCCCTCGCGGCTTTCATATATGTGTGTGTGTGTGTGGTGTGTGTGTGTGTGTGTGCGTGTGTGTGCGTGCGTGCGTGTGTGCGTGCGTGCGTGCGTGCGTGTGTGTGTGTTGTTTGTGCGTATCCCCCATCTGCAACGCCAGGTTGTAATTGAGCTAAGCCTGGCCCGCCTGTACTCGCGGTTTCACGCCTTCGGCTTGGCCTGCCGTTGGCCCCCGCGCCCGCCCGCGGCTCAGCCTCCTGCGCACCGGGCGCCGTTCGTACGGTGGCCCCCCGCTCCTTCTCCGCCTGCCTCATCCGCCGGCTGCGCCTGGCTCTGCCACGGTTCTGGTTGCTTTTCCTGCTCCGGCCGGCTTTGCGGGCCTGGCTGCGCCGACACGCTTCTTCCTGGCCCTCGTCTCCGCGCCATTTTACAAGGGAGTTGATTCGTGTTGAGCGTGAGCCTGTAACCATGCTTCTGTGGTTTGGACTCAGCCGCGCGTTGGAGGAATCTACACAAGTGTGTGTGTGTGTGCGTGTGTGTGTGTGTATGCGGTGCATCCAATCCCATCCGAACAGTGGCTGCCAAGGCAGAGGACGCCAGTTTGTGGGACCTGCTTGTGTGGTATAAGCACGTGCTTCGCATGCAGGGGTCTTCGATGGGCCTGCGGGTCCTCTCATTTACACCAATTCCCCCTGTGGGGTCTCGCAGCGTGTTATTGCCAAGGAGGTAGCGCACAGCAGGTGGAATCAGATCCTCTACGAGGCTGTTCGCAGGACTTTGGTGAGGCCATGTTTGGACTGTGGCGTGGCCACGAAGGTAGGCTGCCAGGCTGCAGAATATTTGTTCTTGGACACCGCACACCGTTGTGCGTCATGTGCAACACGTAGGACGGCGAATGCCATTTTCGCAGTGGCCCACTTCATTTTCGTCCATGTCCCCCAACCATGTTTCGGCCGGTCAATATCTCCAAGAGGAGGGGGAGCGATGCCGACAGGACGCTCGAGGGCGACATCGTGCTGCGAACGGTGGCGCGAGCTGGTCTGAGGCTATGCTTTGCCCCCATGCTCTGCAAACTAAGTGATTTGAGGGCTACCCTTACCCATGTTTGGTGCGGCGTTGCTGGCGGGAGGGTCCCTTCGCTCCGCCCTGCTCTGGCTCTTCCCTTTTGTTCTCGTCCTTGCGCGCCACTGCATGTCGTTGCGACGTCGCTTGTCGCCGCTCCCTGCCCTGACCCCCACTCCGCGGGGTGACTGCCGATGTGGCGGGCTTCTTCTTCACGCCCTACAATTGCCTCGTGGCCTGTCCCACGGCGCTGTTAGCGGGCCTTTTAGTTTTTGCGTCTCGTCGCCTTAAGCGGTGAGGCGGTGAGGACCTTTTGGCCGCCCTGCTGGCCTCTGCCTCGGGGGAAGTCTTCTTGGTACTCGGCCGTGTGCCTTGCCTACACCACCTATGTTTTTGTCCTAGCTATTGACTTTTTGGGCTTCACTCGGCTGCGCGAGCTAATCTCCTCGTGCCACTTTGTGTCGCCTTTTTTTTTTTCCGCCTGTGCGCTGGACATGGCGTTGGCCTTATCGCCTCGCTGCTTGCGCCCCAGCAAGGTTGTGGGTCGGCTTGGTCGCGGCCCGCCTCTTTAGCGTTGCGCGCACCTCTGGTCATCGGGGGAAGCCTTCATGGTGCTTGGCCGTGCTGTTGGCTCTATTGCGCTCCACTCGGTTGCACGAGGCAAATTTTCCTCGTGCCACCTTGTGCGGTAGCGCCTTTTTTCCGTCTGTCCTTCGGACCTGGCGTCGGCCTTCCGCCTCGCTGCCTGCGCTTGACGTGGGTTGTGGGCCAGCTTGGCTGCGGCCCGTTTGTCGTTTTGCGTGTTCCCCCGGTCTCGCCCTGGGACTGTTCGCTTCAGCCTCGTGCTGCGCCATGTTGCCATTCTTGTGGCCAACTGCTGTATTGCCTTACCGACTTAGGTGGAGGACTTTTGGGCGCCTGGCTAGATTGCAACTTCGGGGTATCTCGTGGTACTCGGTCGGGTGCTGCCTTGCTTACACCACCAATGTGTTGCCCGAGGCACTGGTTTTGTTGCGCCACTCTCAGGTGCGCGTGGCAATTTCCACGTGGCACTTTTCGGGGTCGGCGCCTTCTCCTCCGTCTGGCAGCCGGATTGGCGGCAGCCTCACCGCCTTGCTGCTTGCGCCCTGACATGGGGTGCGGACCGGCTTGGCCGCGGCCTTTTAATTCTGTGCATCCTGCGTCCGCAGCTTGGGGTGCAGTTCGCTGCCCCTGTTGGGCAGCTGTATGTCAGCTTGCTCTGCCGGCAGCTTCCCTCATCGGTGGTTCGTCGGTCCCCTCCCCTTGGGGTCGCGGGGGTCGCTTGGTCCTCGCGGCCGTCGGTCGGTCGCGTCGCGGGTCAGCCGTGTCGTGGGGTCTTCCGCCGTCGTCTCTCTGGGCTCCTCCCTTGCTTTTGCTCGTGTTGCGTCCCCCGCCCTCTCCCTTCTCCTCCTTCCGTGTCGTCACCACAGCGAGGGTCTGTCCTCTTTTGTTTGAGCGTTGGCATATCTTGCCGGCGGTAAAACTTTGCTTATCTTCTGTTTTGTTTGTCGCCGTTGGTCGGAATGGCGCGACCTTCGCGGTGATGCGTCAAGTCTTTTTGGGGGCTAGATCGTGTGCCCCGTCTTGCTTGGCTTTGATTTATTGTGCCTCGCCGGTAGCCCTTCGCGGCTCTGGTTGCGGTTGGGGTATGTTGTTTTAACGCTGGCGTCTGCACTGCACGCTCGACCAACCCCGCGCCGTGTCCACCGCCCACGAGCGCCGCCACGTTTCGCGGTTGCTGTTCGCGGTCGCCCGCGTTCGGCTCTGGTTTTGTTTGTCCAAGGCCAAGCCAGCCTTGGTCGCGTGATCATATTTATCACTGCCGACCTCATACATCAGTTGCACGGTCGCTCTTCCGTTACTTGATCACTGCAAGGTCGGTGGCGTTGCATCGTTGCGCCGTTCCCTGCGTGTACGCACCGCCACCAGGTTGACTGGTCTCGTAGGAGCCTTCTAGTTATGCAGTTCGCACCAGACAGTTGCTTGCGCTTCGAACTGTGTGGTATGCTCCTCGGGCTTTTGGGCAGCTGCACTTTTCCATTCCAGCGCCTCGCTCTCACCACCAATCTGCATACTCATGAGTGGGCTCTTTCATCATGGCGCGTTGGACTAAGTTCGCTCGCGAGTGGCGCCTCCACCTGCAGACCGCGCCTGAGGTCCCTCTGCGCTGCCGACTAAAAAAAGAGTGTGTGTGTGTGTGTGTGTGCGTGTGTGTGTGTGTGTGCGCGTGTGTATCTGTGTGTGTTTGTTTGTGTGTACGTGGATTGTGGAGCCGATCCGACTGCTCGTGGCCACATGGCTCCTCGTGGCCTCATGTTTCGGCTTCGGGGCCGAGGAGTCGACTTGCCTGCTCGTGGTCCCGTGGTCTCCCCGTGGGGCTCACGAGTCGATTCTTTGGCTCTCCGTCCTGTGCCCCCCCGTGGCCCGCGGGGGTATATTAATTTTCGTAGCCTCGAAAGCGCATGGCGCCGTGATTTTGTTGGCCCTTGTGCCCCTCGTGTTTGCGGGGTGGGGCACAGGATGCGATGTGATCGCCCGTCGCCCCGCAGTCGCGTGGCCCCTCGTGGTGGTTTCTCGTGGCCCTCGCCCGCGAGGGTGGGCTCGAAGTGCGGCCCGCTTGCTTTTGCCGCGGCGGCCCCGAGGAGGCTCCCATACTGACGCAGAGCCGCCAGCGCAGCGACCTGCCGTGGAGGCCTCCCCTCCTGCCTGTTGCTGCTCTTGCTGGGCGACGAGAACTTTGCACACAGCCCGACCTGCGCTTCGCCCAGCGCAGGTCCATGATCGGTTGGCGTGCGCCCTGGCCAAACTGGGAGGGCGTATGCACAGATCGTGGGCTTGTGATGGCCTTGCCCAGGGTCACGAACGTGTAGTTCTCTTTTTCCAATGCTACGATTCCTGCTGCTCCCCATTTCTGTTATCCCGCTACTCCCTCCTCCCTCTGCCTCTTCCTTCCGTCCCTCTCATTTTCCTTCTCTTCCTTCTTTCTCTTCTCCTCCTCCGCCTTCCTCTGCCTTCCCTTCCTTCTCCTCTCTCCCTCCTCCTCCTCCTCCTCTCTCTTCCTTCTCGTCCTCTCTCCCTCCTCCCCCTCTTTCCCGCCCACCTCCTCATCCACCTCCTCCTCCTCCTCCACCACCTCCGCCCTCCTCCTCCTCCTCCGCCTTCCTCCTTTTCTTCCTCCTCCTCCTCCTCCTCCTCCTACTCCTCCTCCTCCTCCTCCTCCTCCTGCGTGCTGGACAACGGGGTGCTGGTCGGGCCTGCACCCTTTCTTGAGGGCCCGCGCATGCCCGGTAGACGTGAATGTGAATCGAAATTCATCCGCCATGCTCATGTGATATCGAAGACGCCTACGGCGAGCCACAGCCGCCCCCTGCCCTTTCGGAAGCGCCTATGTGGCCGAACGTTGAGGCCAGAGCCCTGCCAAGCTATCGGACCATGTGTTCCCCGGCTCGGTTTGGAAAGCCTTCGGGGAACACGTGGGGGAGGACGGGGAAGAGGAGGATAGTGAGGAATGGGCGTGTTCGGGCCCCCTTGGGGGCTCGTGTGAGCTTTGGGAAGGGTCTTGGGGCCTGCTGGCCGAAGGTTGGGTCGGATCCTTGCCAATCTTTCGGACCGAGTGTTCCCCAAATCGGTCTGGAAAGCTTTCGGGGAACACGTGGAGGAGGATGGGGAAGAGGAGGAGAGTGAGGAAAAAGGTGAAGGGAGGAAGGGTCCTCTGGGGAGCCTCTTGAGGTTCTGTGGGGCTCAATTGGGCCATCTTTGACGGTCTTGGAAGCATTTTTGTTCTGACGGTTACGGGGGCCAAATTGGAGTGATCTTGGGCTTTTTTGGTGCCATCTTGGCTATCTTGGACGCATCTTGGAGGCCGTCCTGGGCCGTCTTGGAGGGATCTGTCGTGGACTTTGAGGTCCTTGATTGTCTTTCGAACCATATTGCGAAGTTCATAGTTTTTCGTTCGAAATTGGAGGCACCTTGAAGGTCATCTTGGCCGTTTGGATGCCATTTCGACCCTTTCGGGCCTGCCTGGAGGACGTCTTGGAGGGCTCTTGGGCCGTCTTGGAGGGCTCTTGCGGACCTTTTGGGCAGTCTTAGGACATCTTGATGCCATCTGGGGCCGTCTTGGGTGCGTCTTGGGGCCATCTTCGCTGTCTTGGAGGCCTTCTTGGCCGTCTTGGAGGCATCTTGGAGGCCATCTTGGCCGTCTTGGGGGTCATCTTCGGTGTCTTAGGGGCCATATTGAGCCATCTTGGGCTCTTATTGGGGCCCTCTTGTGGGTCTCTTGGGCTGTCCGGCCATCTTGAATGCCTCTTGGGCGCTCTTGGGATGATGTTGGGGGCCTCTTGGGCCGTCTTGGGCCGTCGGAGAGCTGATAAGAAGAACATGCCAACATCCTTCAAACACGTAAGGACAATCAATGATTTTTGCCTTTTCGGGCCTTCCTGGAGGACGTCTTGGAGGCCTCTTGGGGGCCTCTTGGCCAGTCTTAGGCCATCTTGGAGCCATCTTGGGCCGTCTTGGAGGCTTCTTGGAAGAACTTGAAGGCATCTTTGACTCTCTCGAGCCGTCTTGGAAGCCATCTCGGACCATCTTTGGCGACTTGGAGGCCATCTTGGAGGCCATCTTGGGCCAACGTGACCATCTTAGAGGCCATCTTGAGCCGTCTTGGAGGATGTTTTGCAGTCGTTGAGGTCCCTTTCGGGTGGCCGGCGGGACGGGCCGAAGCCCCAGGGAGAGTTCTTTTTGGAAAAGAACCAAATCCAAAAGCGAAAGGACCCAGCACGCCAGGCATCCCTGTGATGAATCAACAGAGGGCGGCGGATCGAAGACGCATACGGCGAATCACCGCCGCCTCCTGCCTTTTTGGAAGCGCCTGCGTGGCTGAACGTTGTTTTTGAGCTTGGCCAAGCTATCGGGCCACGCGTTTCCCGAGTGGGTTTCGAAAGCCTTCGGTGAACACGGAGTCGGGCGAGCTATCGGACCAGGTGGTTTCCGAGCTTTCCGGGCCTTCTTGGAGGACGTTTTGGAGGGCTCTTGGGCCGTCTTGGAGGCCTCTTGCGGGCCTTCTGGGCAGTCTAAGGCCATTTTGACGCCATTTGGGGCCGTCTTGGGTGCATCTTGGGGCCATCTTCGCTGTCTTGGAGGCCTTCTTGGCCGTCTTGGAGGCATTTTGGAGGCCATGCTGGGCCGTCTTGGAGGCCATCTTCGACGTCTTCGGGGTCATCTTGATCCGTCTTGGGCTCTTCTTGGGGCCGTCTTGGGGGCCTCTTGGGCCGTCTTGGGCCGTCGGAGAGCTGATAAGAAGAACATGCCAACATCCTTCAAACACCCAAGGAACATCAATGATTGTGGCCCTTTCGGGCCTTCTGGTGGACGCCTTGGAGCGCTCTTGGGCCGTCTTGGAGGCCTCTTCTGGGCCTTTTGGGCCGTCTTAGACCATCTTGAGGCCATCTGGGGCCGTCTTGGGTGCATCTTGGGACCATCTTCGCTGTCTTGGAGGCCATCTTGGCAGTCTTGGAGGCATCTTGGAGGCCATGCTGGGCCATCTTGGCCGTCTTGGAGGCCATCGTAGGCCGTCTTGGAGGATGTTTTGCGAGGTCCCTTTCGGGTGGCCGGCGGGACGGGCCGAAGCCCCAGGGAGAGTTCTTTTGGGAAAAGAACCAAAACCAAGAGCGAAAGGATCCAGCACGCCAGGCACCCCTGCGATGAGCCGTCTCGGGCCTCTTGGAGCCGTCTCGGGAGCCTCTTGGGCCGCATGGGGACATCTTGGAGGCCTCTTGGGCGACCTTGGGTCGATCTTGGGGTCCTCTTGAGCCGTCTTGGGTCGTCGGAAGGCTGGAGAATAGCAAATGCCAGATTCCTTCAAACACCTAAGGAAAACATAAATGATTTTGGTCTCTTCGGGCTCTCGTGGAGGACTTTTTTGTGGCCTCTTGGGCCGTCTTGGAAACCTCTTGGAGACCTTTGGGGGCGTCTTGGGCCGTCTTTGAGGTTTCTTGTGCGAACTTGGAGGCATCTTTGACTCTCTTGGGCCGTCTTGGAGGCCATCTTGGACCATCTTGGGCGAACTTGGAGGCCATCTGGTGCCATCTTGGCCATCCTGGAGGCCATCTTGGAGCCATCTGGAGCAGGAACAACTTGTTGGAACCACCTCTCGAGCAGTCTGGCGAACCCTTCCGGGACCCCGGCGGGCTGGGCCAAAGCCCCAGAGGGAGTTTTTGTAGAAAAAACAAAACCCAAACCGAAAGGATTTAATTCGCCAGGCACCCCTGTGGCAAGCCAACAGGGGGCGGCGGATCGAAGACGCCTACGGCGAATCACCGCCGCCCCCTGCCTTTTTGGAAGCGCTTACGTGGCCGAACGTTGAGGCCAGATCTGCCAAGCTATCGGACCATGTGTTCCTCGAATCGGTTTGGAAAGCCTTCGGGCAACACGTGGGCATCTTGAAGATCATCTTGGCCGCCTGGAGGCCATTTGGACCCTTTCGGGCCTTCTTGGAGGACGTCTTGGAGGGCTCTTGGGCCGTCTTGGAGGCCATCTTGAGCGTCTTGGAGGTCTCTTCGGCTGTCTTTGGGGCCTTTGGGGCCGTCTTGGGCCTCTTGGGCGATCTTTGGGGGCACTTGGGCCGTCTCGGGCCGTCGGAAGTCCGAAGACAAGCAAATGCCACAATCCTTCAAAACTCATGGCAAATCAGTGTTTTTGTTTTTTGTCTGGCCTTCCTGGAAGCCCTCTTGGAGGCCTCTTGGGCCGCCTTGGGCCAGCTTCGAGCCAACTTCGGCCATCTTGGTGGGCTCCTGGCCCGTCTGACGCCGTCGGAAGCCGTTTGGGGGGCGTTTCTGGGCCGACCTGGGGCCTCTTGGGGTGCTCCAGGGCCGTCTTAGAGGCCATCTTGGGCGTCTTGGAGGTGTCTTGGGTCGTCTTTTTGCCTTCTTGGTGCCGTCTTGGGGGCCTCTTGGGCAGTCCTGAGGCCATCTTGGAGGCCTCTTGGGCGCTGTGGGGGCGATCTTGGGGGCATCTTGGGCCGTCTCGGGTCGTCGGAAAGCCGAGAAGAAGCGAATGCGAAAATCCTTCAAACGCCTAAGGAAATCAACGATGTTGGCCTCTTCGGGCCCTCCTGGAGGACCTTTTGGAGGCCTCTTGGGCCGTCTTGGAGGCCTCTTGGGCACCTCTTGGGCCGTCTTGGGCCGTCTTGGAGGTTTCTTGGGCGGACTTGGAGGCATCTCCTCCTCTCCGGGGTCGTCTTGGAGGCCATCTTGGGCGAACTTGGAGGCCATCTTTGGCCAACGTGGCCATCTTGGAGGCGTCTGGGGCAGGAGAAATCCTTTGCAACCGGGTCCGGGCAATCCTCCCGGGACCCCGGCGGGACGGGCCGAAGCCCCGGGGGGAGTTTTTTAAGAAAAAGAACCAACACCCAAACAGTAATACTTTGGCACGCCAGGCACCCCTGCGATGAATCGACAGGGGGCGGCGGATATAATTGCCTTCGGCCCATCCCGCCACCGTGCCACCGATCTACATGCCTCAATTGACGGGGAGGAGGAGGAGGAGGAGGAGGAGGAGGAGGAGAGGAGGAGGAGGAGGAGGAGGAGGAGGAGGAGGAGGAGAAGGAGGTTGAACGACGACGACGACGACGACGACGACGACGACGACGACGACGACGACGACGACGACATCGACGTCGACGTCGACGACGACGACAGAGGGCTCGTGGATGTTGTTTGGGATCGCGTGTGAGGCCTCTCAGGGATCTCTTGGGGCCTCTTTCGGGCCTCGTGGGGCTTTTTGGTGTCTCTTGGGGGCCTCATGGGGGCCTCTGAAGGCCTCTTGGGCGCCTCTTGGGGCCTCCTGGGGCGTCTCTTGAGACAGCTAGAATTTTCGGTTCGTGACCCCCCTCTTGTGCCCATCTTCAGGCCGTTTTGGGGCCCTCTTGGGCTGTCTTGGGCGCCTCTTGGGTCCTCTTGGGGCCCTCTTGGGGCCCTCTTGGGCCGTCTTGGGGCCGTCTTGGGGGCCGCCTGGGCCGTCTTGGGGCAGTCTTGGGGGCCTCTTGGGCCGTCTTGGAGCGTCGGGAAGCCAAAAGGCGCGAACGCTGAAACCCTTCAAGCAACTACGGACAATCGATGAATTCTGCTTCTTGAAGCCCTCTCGGAGGCCTCTTGTAGGCCTCTGGGGATGTCTTGAAGGCCTCTTGCGCTGTTTCGGGGTCGTCTTCGGCATCTTGGAGTGATCTTTTGGCGACGCGGAGCGCTCTGGGACCACCTGGGGGGCCTCTCGGAGCTCTCTTGGCCCATCTTGGAGCCCTCTTGGGCTCCAAACAAGTCATGCGACAAGCCGCGGAAAACCGCGACAAGCCCCCAGGGGATCTGTGAATCTGGGGTCCGGGGAGTGAGGATTGAGGCTTAGAGGATGAGGAAGAGGACTTGAGGGCACGCCCATTCCGTGCCCAGAGGCGCAGTGGCGAGTCGTTGCACGACGGCGCCTGGTGCTCCGTAGGCCTCGACGGCCTTCCGGTCACCACCCAAACTGGGGGTCGGCAGGGTGCAGGTTGGGGCCCATTACGTTCCATTCGCACTATGGTGTGGCCCTGTCCCTACTGCACTACGTCTGCGCCGAGGGCGGCCTCGACCTTGCGGTGAGAGTTCCCGTGGCCACATTTTGGGACGTCTCCGACCCGCCCTCTGGAGACGAAGTCGCTGCTCTGAAGTCCGCGTTATCATTGCGGATACGCCATCAGAGCTGGAAGAGTCCATCGATATCTTATTGGACGTCTTGATCGAGCTTTTCGTCAGCCTGCACTTGGAACTAAATTGGGACCCCAGCAAGAGCGAGTTCATCCTCAATGATAGAGGTCGCTGCCGCTCGTCTTCATCGCCGCCGCGACGATGGGCAGCCTGCCATTCCCGTGCCTTGCCGATCCGACGTATGGCTTCTAGTTGTGCGGGCATGCAAGGACTTGGGTTCCTATGTGCGCGCCACTGGCAGTGGCGGCACGTTCGCCAACACCAGGCACCGCGTGTCGTCGGCGTTGGTACTCTCCGCTGGCCTTCAAGACGTTCGGTTCGGCCGTCCTCAACGTCGTCGACAAGCTCGTTTACTTAATATCCCTCGTGCTGAGCCGCCTCGAGTTCGCAGTCCACACGCTCATCCCGACTGGCTGGGACTCGAAAGCGATGAACGGTTGCTACATGAGGGACCTTCGTCGTATTGCCGGCGTGCCTCGTTTCAGCAGCGCTTGCAACATAACGGACCAGCAAGTTCATGAGCAACCCCAGCAACCAAGCCTGGATTGCCTCCTCCTGCGACGGCGGCTGGCGTTCGCCGCCCGAGTGTGCCGCGATCGGTCAGAAGTCCTGTTAGCTCTCCTTCATTTGCGCGTCGACCCAAACCTCGAATGTCTTCCTTGGGTGAAGCTGCTTATCCAAGATGTCAACAAGGTCAAAGCTACCGTTCACAAGGCGGATTGGCCTAGTCTCCTCGAGTCTCCCCGCTTTTGGCACGACCGCATGCTGCATGCCCACGAGTGGCACGCCATGCTTGATATTGTATTTTTCCTTGGCTCCATCTGCGACAGCCAGGTTGCAGTTGTTTATGACGGGCCGTTCCGTATGCATGTCTGGACTGCAATCGCGCTTTTGCTACAACGCGTGCGTTAGAGACGACGCATGCGCGCGCGCATCAAACACCAGAAACGGATTATTCAATCGCTTCGCTCATTCCGCCGGCCCATTTCGCATGACTGAGCCTCCTGGGGCCGCTGGGGGGCCTCTTCAGCGTCGCTTGGGGGCCTCCTGAGGGCCTCTTGGGGCCTTTTGGGGCCTCTCAGGGGCCTCTTGAGGCCTAAGACCGAGGGCTCGAAATTTTGTTTTGTGTTCCCCCTTTGGGGCATCGCTTGGGGCCCTCTGGGGCCCCTCTGAGCCCCCTCTTGGGCCGTCTTGGATGCCTCTGGGGCCGTCTTGGAGCCCTCTTGGGCCATCTTGGGGCCTTCTTGGGACCTTCTTGGGCCCTCTTGGGGCGATCTTGGGGGCCTCTTGCGCCGTCTTGGGGCGTCGGGAAGCCGAAAAGATGGACACGCCAAAATGTGGCCAAAATCGAAGGAAAAGTAATAATTTGTGCCTCTTGGGGCACTCTGGGGAGTGCTCTTGGAGGCCTCTTGGGGCGTCTGGGGGCCATCTTGGCCGTCTTGGAACGATCGTGTGGCATCTCGGAGCACTCTTGAACCATCTTGGAGGGCTCTTGGCGGCCCTTCTTGGGGCTCTCTGGAAGGCCACGGGGGCGGCGCCCAGGAGGAAAATCATCTCTGATCCGACCCTGCCAGGGATCGCCCGGGGTACTTTTCGTCCGGGGACCCCCAGGGGCCGCCCCGCGCGCGCGAAGTAGAAGTATTATTTAGCAGTTACCGGAGATCTTAGCACGCCTCTGGCCCGTTGGGCCGCCGAATTCTTCGCGAGTATGTGCCGTCAGCAGTCTGCCCCTGCTGTCACACAGACTTGCAGCAGCGGCTCCGCTACCTTGCGCACTTGTCCGACCGACGTCGGCCCCGCTGCAGGCTCTGGGTGCTCAAGCACTCGCCGCGCCTGCCGCCAGACGGAGCGGCGCGTCTCGGTCTGGTTGACAGAGCTTTCAGGCGCGACGCCCAGCGCCAGGGGCGATCCCACCACATAGCCAAAGGTGCTGCCCGTGCTAGCTATGGCCGGGTTGTGGGGCGAGCCTCTGCGTGACCGCATGCTTCGTTGTACCCACTGGCGACTGCACGTCCTTGACGGTATCTATATATCTATCTATCTATCTATCTGTCTATATATATACACATCTATATACGCGTATGCCAACGCTCGCAGCTGCATCCCTGAACCCGTTTACTGGTATGCTGGATTGCTGAGCTCAAGGCAGAGTCGAGTAGAGTCCTCCTCATCCTCCTCTTCCTCCTCCTCATCCTCCTCCTCTTCCTCCACAGTTACACAACATGAATACTACCCTCCTCGCTCCCTTGATGACGTCTGGAAGATATCTGGCCTCCCTCTGCGTATGTTTTTTACACAGGATTCCCTGGAGTTTGAGTTTCGCTTGGGCTTTTTTCAATGTTTTGCCTCCGCTGAATTGCTGGCCTCATTTTCGGGCTTCCGCTCGTTCCGAGTCGTGCTCTCGCTGCAGCGCTGGCCTCATTTCCGAGCTTCCGCTCGAACCGAATCGTGCTTCCGTTGCAGCGCAGGCCTTCCTTCCAAATAGGCTCCCAAATCTAGGAAATGCCCCCCCCGAAACAACCATCGGAAGTGATTACGTATTCGGTGTCGATTCGTTGCTCTTTGGGCCGCAGAAGCCCCCCCATACACCAGGGTCCCATGACTTGCTACCGGAGGCGCCTCTCCCAGCCCCCCCCCCACTTTGGGGCGTCGTCTTTTTCAGGAATTGTCAAGCGGGAGCCCCGTTTCTGGTTTGAGAAGGCGATGTTGAAAGCAGAGCCAGCAGGTGCTCTCCATCAGCCCCGCCTTGTGTTGAGCATTCCGGGGAGCCCAAGGAGCTAGACATGGAGCCACGATTCCAGACCAGCCCAGACCTCTCAAAGACGATCCACCTACCCTCCGAAGAACCTGGCGCCATGCCATGACATGCTGTGCGGTGTTGTGTTCTGCGCCACTGTGCGATGCCATGTTTTGCGTTGCAATGGCAATGCTTCGCTGCGCAATGCCACGCCATGCTATGGCATAATACGCTCTGTCGTGCTCTTCTACGCCATGCCATGCCGTGCTCTACCATGAACTGCATACCCTCTCGCGATCCTTGCCCTGCTCAACATCCAACTGTGCGAATCGAGTGGATATCTACGCCATGGTCAGGGATGGGAGGGAGGGGTCGGACGTCAGATATGACGCGAGCGCACCTAGCTTGTCCTCCTCCCCCTCCCCCTCCCCCCTCCTCCTCCCTTCCCACTCCACCTCTCTCGTCCCTCCTCCTCTCTCGTTCTATCCTCCTCCCGTCCGTCCCTCCCTCCTTATCCCCCTCCCTTCCCCTCCCTTCCCTCCCTCTCTCCTTCCCTCTCCTTGCAGCAGGCCCCCGTCGCCGCGGAGCTGCCAGAGCAGCGGTTGGCCGCCTCCCCACCGGCAGGCGGCCTCGCAGCAGAGGCTGGTAGGGAACGACTTCGGGAGGAGGAGGAGGAGGAGGAGGAGGAGGAGGCGGAGGAGGAGGAGGAGGGGGAGGAGGCGGAGGAGGAGGGGGAGGAAAACCAGGGTAACCCCAAGATGCGCCAGCGATGCTTGAATTCACCGCCCCGTCCGTTTAAGCTTTCCCCGTTGCTGTTGGCCCCGTTCTGAGAAGGAGCCGGCACATCCCCTTCCTGCGCAGAATCAGGAATGCGAGTAGCTGCCATCAGACCCTTACGCGAGGTGTCCAGCGATACCCCCCCCCTTCGAAGAAGGACCACCCACCTCGTGTGCGAAACTGCTGCGCCAACTTGCAGTTGTGCCCATGCGCTCGCAGGACGTCTGCAGGGACAACTCCGTTTTGAAACGGAGCCGCCCTCGATTCGTGCAGTGACGCATGTGTTGAAGTTGCGAGTCTTTGAATTTTCACGGAAGTCTCACGCGATAACCCCACTGTGAAAACATGAGCCGTCCTCCATCCTCTTGTCGCTCGCGAGCTGTTGCAATGAATGCGTGCGGCGCTGAAGCGAGAGCCTCATGCTGAAAGCGGCATGTGCTCCAATATTGTAAGTGTCGCAACAAGTTAAGATGAAAGTAGGCGGCGCTAAGGCGAGAGCCACGCTTTGAATTCGATCGGTTGTCCATCGCTGTAACTGTGACGAACGTGAAGGTTCGAATTCGCCCGGCGCCAGGGCGAGAGCTCATGCCAAACAACGACCCCCTCAATCCGTGAAGCTCTTGCAAACGTTTAAGACGAATGCGCGCGGCGCTAAGGCGAGAACAACATGCTGAAAACGATGTGTGCCTCATGCCTGTACCTGTTGCCACAAATTATCACATAGGAGCGCTGCGCCAGGGCAAGAGCCACATTTTGAAAACCACCCGCCGTCCACCTATGAAGGTGCTGAGCGTTTCAAGACGAGTGCGACCAGCGCTGAGGGCAGAGCCCCTCCATCCCTGGCGCTTTTTTCTCAACCATCCTGTGGTGTTGGGCCCTCGCTTTGAAGAGACAGCGCCCCGCGTCCTCCTCCTCCTCCTCCTCCTCCTCCTTCACAGTTCCTCCTCCTCCCTCCCGTTCCTGCCCCTGCCCCCCGCAACGCTCACGCGTTTCGTGACCCGATAGGGAGCTCCGCCGACTGCTCAGTGGCGGTTCTCGCACGTGCCCTCCGCACCCATTACGGCACACCCCTCACACGTTTCGTGGCCCCCTAGGAGCTCAACCGAAGGCCCACTGGCGGTTCTCGCATGCGCCCCCCGCACCCACCACGGCAAACCCTTCACACGTTTCGTGGCCCACATGGCGGTTCTCGCATCATGCGTCTCCTGCACACAATTCGGCACACACCACACACGCTTCGCGGCCCCATAGAGAACTCCACCCACCGGCCCCAGTGGCGGTTCTCGCATGCATCCCCGCACCCATTGTGGTGACTTGATACTGGGTCGTTGCTCGAGCTTTGTCGCTTAGGCCACGGGGTTTCAGCTGCGGCACACCTCTCTCATGTTTCGTGGCCCCATAGGGAGCTCCACCGAAGACAATGTCCACGACTGTGCTGCTCACAACTGCATCTGGCTGGGTCCTCTGCCGGGCTTGCTTCCCCCGAGGCATCCTGTGTTTGTTGGTCTTCGCCCTGGAAGGACAGCGCCCCGCGTCTCCTTCTTTCCTCCTCCCCCTTCCTCCCTCCTCCCGTCCCTGCCTCTGCCTTCCGCATGTCCACTTCGGCACACACAGTTTCACGTCTCGTGGCCCAATAGGGAGCTCCACCGCGGTCACCAGCGACATGGTCCGCATGCGGTTCCACCCTCCGTGCCGGCGCACCCATCGCACGCGTGGTGGCCACATAAGGAGCTCCATCGAAAGCACCAGTGGCAGTGTCCGCATGCGGCTCCATCTTTGATTTCGGCACACCCCTTACACGTCTCGTGGCCCCCGAGGGGGCTCCAGTTAAGGCACCAGTGGCAGGGTCCGCATGCGGTTCCACCTTCCTCTTCGGCGCACCCCTCACACGTTTCTTGGCCCCACGGGGAATTGCATCGAAGGCACTCGTGGCAGGGCCTGCATGCGGTTCCACCCCCGCATGTCGGCGCACCCCTCATACGTTTCGTGGCCCCACAGGGCAGGAGGGGGGATCCACTGAAGGCCACCGTGGCATGGTCCGCGTGCTGTCCCCACCCCCATGTCGGTTCTCCCCTCGCTGATTGTTGGGCCCTTCGCCAGAAGTATTATTTGCCCCAACCATCCTGTGGTGTTGGGTCCTCGTTTTTGATCAGCAGCGCCCCGCGTCCCTCCGGACTCCCTCCGCCGCATCCCCTCCTGTTCCTCCTTCTCCTCATCCTCCTCCTCCTGCTCCTCCTCCTCGTCCTCCCTCCCCGCCTCCCATTTCGGCACACCCCTCAGACGTGTCGTTGCCACATGGGGAGCCCCAACTACGGCGCACATGCCACAGTTCACATGTGCTTCTGTTTCGCATGTCGGCACACCCCTCGCACGCTCTGTGGCCTCAGAGGGGGCCCACACAAAGGCCCAAGTGCCAATGCTCATATGACCTCCCCATTTCATTTCGGCACGCCCCTCGCACGTTTCGGGGCCCCTTTTATGGAGACCCAAACTAAGGCCCAAATGCATAAGGGGGTTCGCATGAGCTCCTGCCTCTCACTTCGGCACGCTCCTCGCACGTTTCGTGGCCCCATAGGGCGCCCCAACCAACGGCACACATGCTAAGTTCGCATGCGCTTCCGCTTCTCATTTCGGTGCACCCTTTCCACGCATCGTGACCCCATAGGGAAGCCCCAACTGAGGCCCAAATGCCAAAGTTCAAATGAGTTCCCGCCGTTCGTTTCGGCACACCGCTCGCACGTTCCGCGGCCCCATGGGGAGCCCCAACTCAGGCCCACATGCCACTGTTTACCCGAGCTCCCGCTCGTCATTTCGGCAGACCCATCGCACGTTTCGTAGCCCCTTAGGAAAGCCCCAAACAACGGCCCAATTGCTAAAGTTCACGTACTCTCCCGCTTCTCATTTCGTTGCACCCCTCGCATTTTCAATGGCCCCATAGGGAACCCCAACTACGGCCCAAATGCAAGAGGGTTCATATGATCTCCCGCCTTTCACTTCTGCACTCTCCTGAACGGCCTCGTGGCCCCATAGGGAGCCCCAACTAAGGCCCACATGCCACAGTTCACCCGATCGCCTGCTTTTCTTTTAATTTCGGCAGATCCCTCGCACATTTCGTGGCCCCGTAGGATGCCCAAGCTAAGGCTGAAAAGCAGGGGTTCACGTGAGTTCCCGCCGGTCTCTTCGACAGACCCCCCGCGCGCTTCGTGGCCCCATAGGGAGCTCCAACTAAGGCCCAACTGACAGGGTTCGTATGAGTTCTTTCAGGACGACCAGCACGCGTCGCAGGGAGTCCCCATGCGCTGTGTCTCCACGAGCTGCCTTTGCGCCTTGGAGCGGCGGCGACATTTGTGTATCATGCGGTTGCCTGAGGGAAAGCGCTCTCCGGGCATCCGCTCGTTCCCCAGCTCGCACCCCCATCCCTCCTTGCTCTTGTTCGCCTCTGCCCCTCCTCTCCGTGCCCTGGTCCTTGTTGCTCGCCCACCCTTTGTGCTCGCAGCTGTGCATGGTTGGGAGATTCGCCATGCAACTGTTTTTGGTGGTTTTGAATTTTGATGTTTGAGCTAGTGAGCCATCCCCCTCCGTCCTTGAAGGTGCCGCAGACCTTCGAGGACGGATGTGCGCGGCGCCCCCCGCCCCCCATCCTTGAAATCCTGGCAGATATCATGCCCCAGAGTTATATAAGTCTTCGGGAAGTCTCTGGCAAACTGCAGGGCCCGTCCTGCCGACACGTCTTGGGGCGCGACAGGGAGGAATTGAGAAGGGAAGATGGATGGAGGAGGTGAAGGCGATGAGGAACGGGGGAGGAGGAGATTGAGGGGGAGGAGGAGGAGGAGGAGGAGGAGGAGGAGGAGGAGGAGGAGGAGGAGGAGCAGGAGGAGGAGCAGGAGGAGGAGGAGGAGAGGAGGAGGAGGAGGAGGAGGAGGAGGAGGAGGAGGAGGAGGAGGAGGAGGAGGAGGAGGAGTAGTAGTAGTAGAGTAGTAGTAGTAGAGTAGTAGTAGTTAGTAGTAGTAGTAGTAGTAGTAGTAGTAGTAGTAGTAGTAGTAGTAGTAGTAGTAGTAGTAGTAGTAGTAGTAGTAGTAGTAGTAGTAGTAGTAGTAGTAGTAGTAGTAGTAGTAGTAGTAGTAGTAGTAGTAGTAGTAGTAGTAGTAGTAGTAGTAGTAGTAGTAGTAGTAGTAGTAGTAGTAGTAGTAGTAGTATAGTAGTAGTAGTAGTAGTAGTAGAGGAGGAGGAGGAGGAGGAGGAGGAGGGAGGAGGCGAAGGAAAATGAGGAGGGAGGAACAGGGGGTGGGGGGAGGAGGAGGAGGAGGAGGAGGAGGAGGAGGACGATGAGGAGGAGGAGGAGGAGGAGGAGGAGGAGGAGGAGGAGGAGGAGGAGGAGGAGGAGGAGGGGGTGGAGGGAGGATCCTCCGCTTCCGCCACACGGGGCTACCAGAGACGAGCTAGCAGGGGCCTTGTCGGGGTTGGACGCTGAACTTGCAGCTCAGTTGCCCGCGGTCCCCTCCTAGCCGGTTCGCAGATGTGGAGATCTAACTTATTTGGTCGGTTGTGGCCCGTGGATCCGTGCCATCCCGTTGGAAGCTGAGATATGACTACCAGGCCCCTGCCCTCCGTGGACCACAGCCCCTGAAGCCCGTGATCCTTAATTCCCTGTGGACGCTCTACACCACAACAGTGCCCTGGGTGGCAGTACCGCGTGGCCCTTCAAACGCAGTTCTTGAACTGTATGTCTGATTATTTTGGCCTCTCTGGAGGATATGATCCCTTGAAACACGATTACCGCAAGGTCCTTCGCCATCGTATGAGGGGGAAGTCGCCAAAGAGGGCTTGACACGTCTGCTCCGAATTCAGGAAGCGCACATGGCTTAAGGCGCGTGGATTAGTGACGGGTCCCGCTCAGAATCGGCGCGCCCTGTTCGCCAATTTGGACGACATTGGCCTCATGTTTCGGTGGTATTTTCCCCAATTCATGGATCTGGCGCGCACGTGCCATACCCGCGGATCCGTAACCCATGCTAGCGTACGCCCGACCGAAGCTTGTGACAGTGCTTTGAGGCCCTCTCGTGTTCCACTCGTGGGGGCTCGGTTCGGCATCTAGTGGCCTTGGGTCCGTCCCGCCACCGTGTTCGGGTAGAAGACAAGGGGCAGGCCTTCGGGGTCTATTTGGGGGACCTCTCGCGGGCTTCTTGGCTCCTGATGGGGGCCTCTAGGAGGTCTCTTGGGGGTCCCCTGGGGTCCTCTTGGGTGTTTCTTGGGGGTGCGCTGGCGGTCTCGAGAACCATGAAGAGGGAGGCTCTACACGTAGGTACGGGTTCCCCCGTTGTGGCTCCTCTTGGGGCCGTCTTGGGGGCTCCTCTTAAGATCTTAGCGGCAGTCCTTGCGCGATCTCTCTCTCTCTCGTGTGTGTGTGTTGTGTGTTGTGGGTGTTGTGTAGTGTTGTGTGTTGAGTGTTGAGTGTTGTGTGTTGTGTGTTGTGTGTGCTGTTTGTGTATGTGTGTGTGTGTGTTGTGTGTGTGTGTGGTGTGTGTGTGTGTGTCGTGGGGGGGGGGCATTCGGGCCGTCTCATATGCTCTTCAGTACGAGCAATTAATGGAAATAGCAGACCTACGCGGATGTCATGTGGTCCAGTGGTGTTGGCCTTTTGGATTGCCCACCCCCTTCCCTGCGGGCCCCCAAGAGGCCTCCAAGAGGGCTGCAGCACGGGACCTCTGAGTCCATCTTAAGACATATTGGAGGTTGAGGCCTGCATCCGCCATGTAAACGCCGCGTGGGGAATTTCATAAGGCATCAGGAGCGCCAAGAAACTCCACACGATTCCGCGAGCCCACGGGTTGGGTTTTTGTTTAAGCAGCAGTTGCGGTACTCTAAATTGAGATCTTGAAGGGGCTTGCGACCGTAGACGCGCTAACGGCGATGCAGGTAACGGCGATGTAGGTGTTGGTTTTGTGGGAACGCGCGGCTCGTGCTTGCCTACAATGCGCTGTGTCGTTTCCGCTCGATCGGTACATCCGCATATCAGAAATGTAGGAAAGTGTGGTTCGTGATTTCCTACAGGTCGGTTTCCAACTTGACCGTTAAGCAACATCGCCGTTAGCGTGGCCGTGGTGCGAACAGTCCGCTCGGTGCATGCGACACGGTGGCGCATTTTTAACTCCGTCGCTCTGTCGTCTGTGGCCCTTCTAGCCTCGTGGACCCCTTGTCGCTCCCGCGCGGGGGCCGTTCGGGCGAGCATTCGGTTGCCCAGTGGTCACTTGCTTCTCGTCCCTCGTGTTCCCTTCGTGGCCTGGAGGGTTTCTCCGAAGGGCTTAGGCGACCCGTCCTCCTTCTTCTCCTCCTCCTCCTGATCCTCCTGATCCTCCTCCTCCTCCTCCTCCTCCTCCCCTCCTCCTCCTCCTCCTCCTCCCCTCCTCCTCCTCCTCCTCCTCCTCCTCCTCCTCCTCCTCCTCCTCCTCCTCCTCCTACTCCCTCCTCCTCCTTCTCCTCCTCCTCCTCTCCTCCTCCTCCTCCTCCTCCTCCACTCCTCCTCCTCCTCCTCCTCCTCCTCCTCCTCCTCCTCCTCCTCCTCCTCCTCCTCCTCCTCCTCCTCCTCGGGTCGCCTACGGCCCCGGGGGAAGCTGTTCACCGTGGCCCCCTGGCCTTGAGGGATACCGTCCAGAGGATGTCACTCGATTGCTTCGTGGCCCCTTTGGGCCCTTGCGCCTCGGAGGTGCCGTTCACGATCTTGCCTGGTCGCTTCGTGGCCCGTGGCCCCCCGCGCCTCGTTGCCCCCTCGGTGGTCTATCCTTTGGGGTGTCGTCCACGCTTGGGCTCCGGCCCACGCCTCCACGGCCCCCCTTGGCGCTGGCGCCTCGTGGTTCACTGCCTGCCCATTCGGTTGCTCATGGCCCCGCAGGGCTCGTTTCGATTCCTCCGATTCGATTCGATTCGACTCCGATGGACTTCTCATTGGACGCATACTAGCCTGCCGATTTCCGCCGATTCGACTCTTCCCGACTTGGCTGCCGATTTCCGCCGATCCGACTTATTTCGATCGCCGATCCGACTTGTCGATTCGATTCTGGGCTCCCCTGCCCCGTGGCTCCGCGCCTCCCTGTGCTAATCGATAATCGACTCGGTTGGCTCTGGCCCGCTGGCCCCTCGTAAGCCACGTAAGGTTTTGTTGTTCTTGTGCCCAAGGCAGTTGGTTGCGCGTGGTCCCCTGGCCCCATGGGCTATCGCGAGCCTCGCGTGAGTGGTGGGGCTCAACATGCGATTCGCTTGCTGGTGGCCCGTCGCCCCTCGTGGCTCATCGCGGCATTGGTGTTGGGTGGGTGTGGAGCCCAAGAGCCGAAGCGGTCACCCCCGTAGCCCACGGATCTTCGTGGCCGCCAACCGTCAAACTGGTCACCGTGATCGCCATCCGATGATCAAGTTGCCAGTGTGTTTTCTCAGATGATTTCCCGTCCACCGCGCTCTGGTCCTGCGCTCCTGGCTGCTGCTGCCCGCCTGGATGCTCATCGTCGAACTCTTCGGCGTCTGAGCGTTCCTTCTTTCTCTCGGCCGTCCCCCTTCCCTCTTTGATCGCTGGCCAATTCGCTAGTCAGTGCCTCTATCTAGCTTCTCGCTGGAGCGGATTTCGCCACCTTGCCGCTGACGGAAAAGTGTTTTCTCAGATGGGGGAGGGGGACACCCTACCGGTAAGTTTTCGGCGACGCGTCAGCGAAGTATCGGCGGGGCCAGGCAGGGGCGCTGACCGATTTTCCGTTGACCTGGCCGGGCGGTCCCCCGAGGCGGGCACCCTCGCGGGCGAGGCAGCGCCAGCTCGGCTCGCCGCTGGCAGCCCGCCGGGGCGGCGCGGCGCCTCAGCTCCCGCGGCGGCTGCTGGGCCGACGCCGGCCGGCAGCTCCGCTGGGTGGCAAGCGGCCGCTCCGGCGGTCGGCGGGGCCGCTGCGGCAGGCTTAGTGGCCCTGCTGCAGGACTTGGACTTCGAGGGGGCCGGCGCGCGAGCCGCGCTCGCGGGTGCGCCAGCAGAGTGCGAGGTGGTGAGCAGTCTGCCGGCGGCGTCGCCGCCCTTGCAAAAGCGGCGGCGACTGGACCCCGTGCTGCGCGACAGGCATGGGGAAACGAAGAACGACATAAACATGGGGAAACGAAGAACGACATAAACATAAAAACTCGGAGGTCCGCGCGGATTCCTCGGATGGGCGCTGGGGACCCCTGGCGGCGCCTCCGTCGCCGCCCCTGGCGCGCTCCGCGCGCCAGGGAGGGGGGGTCCAGCGCCGATACGAGGAACCCGCGCATACCTCCGAGTTTTTCTACGCTTAAGCCTTCCTCCGCCCCCCTACAAGGCAGGCGCTGCTGGTCCAGAGTCTGGGAAGTCGCGGCTACAACCTGAGATCGCGACCGCCGCCCGCCGCCGACCCCTCTGCCGGGCCCGCCGCCCGCGACGGGCGCGGGGCCGCCGCGCGCAGGCCGAGGCTGTCTCTGGCGCCGCGCAGGCCTGCTCGCCCAGCGCGAGTTGTCCGGGCAGGGCGCGCACGGCCCGCTGCGACGGGCGCCGGCTCCAGAGGTCATGGCGGGTCCTCCTTCTCCTCCTCTTCGTCGTCGTCCTCCTCCTCCTCCTCCTCCTCCTCCTACCACTCCTCCTCCTCCTCCTCCTCCTCCTCCTCCTCCTCCTCCTCCTCCTCCTCCTCCTCCTCCTCCTCCTCCTCCGGGCCGGAAGGGGCAGCATCCCCAGATTCCCGCTCCTCGAGTTCCCATGGGCCGTCAGGGTCCTCCGAGGCCCTCCCTGGGCAGATCGTGAGAGTTCCGATTTCCGGCGTCGATTCACACATCAGCCTGGTTGCCCAACGCAGGTCTGTCTTTGAGACGACCATGGGAAAAACTCTCTGTATTCGTATCTTTTTTCCACATCCGGTGTGTACCCAATTTCAGCCTGTTGCCGTCACCGACTGTCTTTATATCAGTCCATGCTTATTTATATGTGCGTAGCCTTCTTCTCGGACGCCGTGCTTCTCCGTAGTTTCCCGTAAGTGATATCTGCCTTTGTGATGTTTATCTCTCTCTCTCTCTCTCTGTCTTTCTCTTTTTTTTTCTCTCTCTCTCTCTCCGTCTATGTGTTTCTCTCTCTATATATATGTATATATATATATATATCCCTCCATCCATACATACATGTACACGCCCATATGTTTATATGCCACTTAACGTCTCTCTCTCTCTCTATCAGTATTTCCCTCTCTCGATGGGCAAAACAGTAACTTCGGCCGCCTCTGAGGCGATAGCACAGTGCTCAGCTGGCAATGTGGCCCTCGCGGTGGCGAGAGCATCCATCTGAGTCGGGAGTGTGGCCATCTCCGATGCAAATCACAGTTCCGAGCGGGGAGTGCGGCCAGCGACTGGGCGACAGCGCCGTGCCGAGCTGGGGAGTCGCTGGGGACAGCGCGAGGAACAGGGGGGAGGAGGGAGGAGCTCGAGGATCTTCACCCAATGGTTCCCCGAGCGGCAAGTGAACGTGCCGTTGGGGGAGCTTCTCTTGTGAGGAGCGCAGGGCCCCTCAGCATGATCCGTGTGGGCGCGAACTGGTGACCAGCTGTCTGCCTCGAAGGTTTCTCATCGCAGGGAACCTCCGACGGTGCGCCAACTGATGCCCCTCTCTTCTGGCAGGTGCAGCGCCTGGCCCAGCAGGCGCGGCTGGCGGATGCAGAGGTGCAGGCACAGGAGGAGGCGAAGCAGCACCCGGAGGAGCGGACCCGGGAACGGGCTCGTGCCTGGGCGACGCCCTGGCGGAGCAGGCCAGAGGAAGAGACGGCACCAATACCGCTGCCCATGCCTCCTTCTCTCGGGCCGGGGGAAAGGGGGGGATTGGGAAAGGGGGGGTTACGAAATTTGCTGCATGCAGCTGATTTCGGCCTCACCGAGGGGCCCATTCCTCGATACATGGGCGCCTCCGGCGCCGGGAGGCGCCGGGAAAATCAGCTACGCGAGCTGATTCTCAAACCCCCCCTTTGCTATCCCCCCCTTTCGCCCGACCCGATTCTCCCCCTCCAGGGCTTCCTGGGAGGCCCTCGCCGCCACCGCTGGGTTCGCTCCGAGATGCTCGCCAGGGCGCATCCGTGAGAGGTTCGGGGAGCACAGTCAGTTCGTTGAAATAAGGTCCGGGGCTCGGTGGTTCCTGAGGTTTGCATGCGTCCAATTGTCTTGTTTGTGGCGAACTCCTCCAGTGTTCCTTCAGTTTTAGCACTCGTGGTGGGTTCCAATCACGATTGCAAATCGTGGCGGGACGCCGCTAGGAAGGGGGCTCGGCCGTCCCTTCGGATTTGACGCTTCGACTTTGCAAAAGGAGGTTTCGTTCCTTACCTATCGTTCCCTACAGTCAATCCGCATAGTAAGGATGAGCAACTTTCCATGGTCACCTTTGCATCCTTCCCTTCCGGGCCATACTTGGCCGCCTTCGCTGGCCGCGCCCCGCTTGCAGAGCGCCAGCATGGTCTTCCAAGGCCCTTGCATCCTTCTCGTGCGTCCTTGTTCTAATCACGGGTTGACTGCACCGTTCCCTACAGGCGGCCCAGATTAGTAAGTCGACCCTCCCAAATCAAGAGTACCCTTGTGCCCTGTATCTCGCGAACCATGCCTCCTACATTCCTATGGCAATGTGGCCCTTGGAAGGGTCTTGTGTCCTGTCGCTCGTCCTGTCCAATCAAGCCCGACTGTACTTCAGCAGCCCCACCGGAGCGATACCGGCACCGTCGGGCTTCCCTTGCAGGGGTGTGCAGCCGGCCACCGCGCGGCAGCCCCGAGCGCGGGCGGCTCGCCCCGATGCCCGCCGCTGGGGCCGCGCGAGCGGCTGCAGGACGAGCACATCACCTTCGCCATGCGCGAGCTGCCGGAGCCTCCAGCGCACGTGTGGGCGGCCACCCCGGCGCAGGTGGCCAGGGGAGGAAGAGGCACCCATGCCTTATGATGTTCTGACTGACTTCAGCCTTGACCGCCAGAAAGAATTGCGAGCACCAAGAAAGTACCGAATCTGGAGGGTTTTCATATGTGGGGCCCTGGGAGGCGATACTCGTTCGACACTGCTTCGATATTCTTCTGGGTGCTCGAAATTATTTCAGGGATGTGAGAGCATCACAACCCATGCCGCTACCCTCCGCCCGTTTTCCCCTTTTTGGGCCTCCTGGGAGGCCGTCGTCGCCACCGCTGGATTCGCCTCGAGGTTCCGGTCAGAAGGCACCCCAGGAGAGGTCCGGGGAGAAGCGGTATCGGTACCCTTTTGTTTCCCCAGGTGGTCCTCCTGGAGTCCGAGCAGGAACGTGAGGTCCGGGCGCTGCAGTATTTTCACCCGGGAACTCTTCTTTTGGCTGCGGGCCCAGGACTCACAGCTTGCTGCGGTTCGACGAGTGCCGCCCAAGATGGGGACTGTGGCTCTGGCCGTGATTTTTCGCGATATTGCGCTTGTTTCGCTACGTCGGATCTCAGGGGACACAGGTCGCACGCAGGAGCGAGTCTTCGCCGGAGAGGATGTTGGCGCGCGGTTTCCGGGAGTCGCGCGGGGTCCAAGCCCAGGCACGCAGGCTGCTGATGTTAGGTCGGGCGTGTCTTCCTACAGGGGGATTTTGGACGAAAGATCAAAGATACCCCAAAAGTATTCGAAACTAGTCAAACGTCGACCGACTATTTTTGACTATTTTTTGATATTCCTCCTGTAGAGGGACGTTCCCGACATAACGCTGATGTCGCACCGCATGTGGCGATCGGCAGGTCGCGCACCAGACGTCGCCTCCTCTTGCCCAGGGTCGGCATTGCGTGCAGCCGAGGACAGCGCCGATGCGCACGCAGAGCGCGACGGCTCCCTGCGGAGGCATTGGGACAACGACGCCGCCACGGTGCTCGTGCTTCCGGTGACGTCGGAGTCCTCGGCGGGCTCCCTCGCGGACGCTGGGGGCCACTGGTCGCTGCTGGTGGTCCGCCGCGTGCCCGGCAGCCAGCACGGCCGCTTCGACGCCGAGCTGTTGGACAGCCTGGCCGCCACACCCGCAGGCGGGGTGGGTCATGGCTGGAGTGAGGGGGGGGCCCGCTCGCGCGGGTCCGTTCAGAGTCGCACGCGTGTTGGCTGCTGGTTCGGGGCGAGCAGGCGTCTTTGCGCCCATGTCTGTTTATCTCTCTGCTTCTTCTTATGCTGACTGTTTTTGTGATTATTAGTCCTATCATTATGTGTCTTATTTCTATCGTCTTCTTCTATCATGATTCAGATTGTCATTATTTGATTCATCTTCTCCTCCTGGTGGGGAATAGCCTTGTGGGGCCAGGCCGCGGGTGTCTGGGGGCCCGCGGCGTCCTGGGGCCCCGAGGCGGGGGGGGGGGGGGGGCGGCGGCCTAGTTAGGGGTCAGCAAGTTTGGCGCGGGTCACCGCAGTGGGAGGTTTTGCGCTCAGGCAGGCCCACCTCGAGTCGCACACGTGTTGGGAGGTTCGCCCAAAGGGCCCGCGGTGTCTTGAGGGCGAGGGAGCCCGCCCGTGGCCCAACGGTTGCGCAGGCTTCAGGTTGCCCACGACATTCTCTGCGGCGTCCGCGGCGGGCTTCAGTTTTGGCTTGAGGTCTTCGAGCTGTGGTTTCACGGCAGCCCCTCTTTCCTGTCCGCCTCTGGAGGTTCTTCATCTGCAGTGGCGCAGCCCGCATGCGCCTACACCACCCTTTTTGGCGCACGCCCCGGCGCAGCCTGCATGCGTCCGCCCCACCAGTTCGGGTACGTCCCTCACACGCTTCGTGGTCCCATAGGGAGCTCCACCGAAGGTCCCAGTGGCGCAGTCTGGATGCGTCCCCCCGCCCACTTCGGTACACCCCTCACTGTTTCCGTGGCCCCATAAGGAGTTCTACTGAAGGCCTCAGTGGCCAGGTTAGTATGCGGTCGCCCCACCCATGTCGGCACACCCCTAATGCGTTTCGTGGCCCTACAGGAAGCTCTACCGAAGGCGATACTCACAACGACGGCACTCGAAATTGCACACGGTTGGGTCTTTCGCCAGGTTAATGTTTCTGATTCGGGTGTTTCTCGCAACTAGAGCATATACATTGGCCCAATTGCCAGCAATGTGAGTACGTATTCGTTTGGGCTCAAGTTCCGTCCAAAACAGAATTCTACCTGTTCAGCTTACCGATCACCTTTGTAGGCAGAGCCCCTTCCTCGACGCCATGGCGACAAAGGTGCTTATTGCCCTGGCGAGCCCCGTCCTGGCTGCGGCAATTGTGTTGAAGGCGGAGGAGAACGCCACCAAGGCGAAGTCTGGAAGCTGTGACTGCATGACCTGGTCGGATGTATACTACACAAACAAGGCGGTGTGTGGCCGGGCCAACGAGCTGTACTTCCTCAGCAAGACAGGCTTCTCCGCGTCCTACGCCGATACGGAACCCATAACTGGTCTGCCGCACAAGATTTGCTACGATTTCTTTAAGAATTTTGCATCACCGGCTTGTGTGAACATCGACTTGGTTCCATTCCCTGCAGATGAGTTTTCCGGGCAGCAGTGGTGCTACGTCTCGAACGATTGCGCGAACCTCAACGGTGGTGGGTACGCAACTAACATCGAGGGCTTCTCGCAGAGCAGCTGGCACAATCTGCAGTCCGCATCCCAGCAAGCCTGGAAGATCTGCGACCCTACCGAGTCTGACACGCCCGCGCTGAGCGTCAAGCTGGTCCCTGAGGTTGTTGCCTTGGGAGTCGAGAGCGACGTGAGCCTGTCCCAGCTCCTGAAGCTGGCGTACCCGGCTGTGAACATCTCCTGGGGGGAGGCCTCTCTGCTCTGGCAGGCAATCGACGCAGCGTACGAACCTGGCCGCACCGTCACAGAGATGGTCGACGCTGTCCCGGAGCTGACGGGGTGGGGGAGCGAAGTCGTGGACCGCCGCTTGCGCGCAATCGCCAAGTCGGAGCAGGGCACGGTGTTGGACTCTCCCGGACACGGAGACATCTATCATGTGGTCCAGGGGCGCGCCGCTTACGTGGTGCGAAGGGCCGCAGACGGCAACATGGCGTATTTGGGGGGCCATTTTTCCCAGGAGTACACGGTATCGTGTGTGATTGGCTGTGCAGATGCGGAGCCTCGCAATGCATTGGACCTCAGCACCCTATGAGAATCTAGGGCAAATCACGGAGCCAAGGAAGCAGCAAGGTGTCGCGTTGGGCGCCTTGCGGCGGAAAGAAAACCTCCATCTCGCTCGGTCTCTCGGCCTTCCCCAAGGTTCGCTGCAAACTCTCATACTGCCCCCCCCCCCACCCACTCCACGCCGACCCCAAATGTGTTTACCTATTGCGCATCCACATGCTGATGTTCTCTGAAGGCCACTGCCGCCAGCCCCCTGGCCCCAGGCATCGAGGGCTCCCCCGTTGCCGTGTTGCTCATCCTGGAGGTTACAGGCGTATTCTTGAGGTCCGTTTAGGACCGTCCTGGGGGCTCTCTCTCCTTCAGTTGGCAGTTGGCCCTCTTGAGTCCCTCGGAGCTCGACTGGATCTACCTTGTGGTCTGTCCAGGCAATTTCTGGGCATTTCTGCTGCTCATGTGAAGCATACTGGAGCTGCCTGGAGCCTTCTGAGGGTGCCTTCGGAGTACAATTCCGCCCTCTTCCAGGATCTTGGGTCGCGCGGAGGCCACTTGGCGTCATGCATAGTTTATATATGATCGCGGGCTCCGGGCCCACGACCCCCCCCCCCCCCAGATGGGATGGGTCCCAGGGTCCTCGGGCCCCCCCCCCAGATGGGATGGGGGGGGAGGAGGAGAATGAGGAGGAGGAGGAGGCGGAGGAGGAGGAGGAGGACGATGACGACGACGGACGACGGCGGACGACGACGACGACGACGACGACGACGGCGACGACGACGACAACGACGACGACGACGACGACGACGGACGACTGACGACGGACGACGGCGGACGACGACGACGGACGACGACGACGACGACGACGACGACGACGACGACGACGACGACGACGACGACGACGACGACGACGACGACGACGACAACGCCGACGACGACGACGACGACGTCGACGGCACCGCCGGCGGCGGCGGCGACGACGTCGAGCACCGGAGCTTTCAGAAAGCTCGTCAGCATGACGCCACAATCACAGCCACACGCACACCCACACCACACCCACAGGGGGGGAGGGGGGGGAGGACATCGGGTCACCCCACACACCCACAGCAACACACCACACCCACACCACATCCACAGGGGGAGGGGGGGGACCATCGCGCGCGGGGGGGGGGCCCGATGGCATTAGCATTGGGGGGGGGCCCAAACCCTCGACCATATATGATCCCGGGTCGAGGGCAGAAAGGCCCCCCCTTCAGATGGGATGGGTCCCAGGCTTCCACAGGTCCCCCCCAAATGGGATGGGATGGGGACGACGACGACGACGACAACGACGACGACAACAGACGACGACGACGACGTCGACGACGACGACGACGACGACGACAACAGACGACGCCGACGACGACGACCACGACCACGACCACGACCGAGACCACGACGACCACGACCATGACCACGACCACATCTGGCACGATCACGACGACGACGACGCCGACGACGACAACGGCGGCGGCACCGCAGCAGCACCCCACACCCACAGGGAGAGGGTCGGGGGCACCATCTCCCCTCTCCACCTGGCCACACCGCAGGGCCACGACCAAAGGGGCGGGGAAGGGCGATCCCACTCGCGAGGCCTTCGCAAGGCTCACAGGCGTAATTACCCATCCAGCGGGGGAGGGGCTGGATCCCATCAGCATTGGTGGTGGAGGGGGGGGGGGCGGAGCCCCGGATCATGTACGTGTCGCGGCCCTGGGAGCACGGACCCTGCAAAGAGGTGGCAATGGGAGCGCGGGTCATGTTTCATTCACGGGTCGTCGTGTCCTTCGGAGCGCAGATCATTATCTATATATATATATATATGGGGGGATTGTGGCCCTTGGAGCCTGAGCCCATGGCAATGTATCCGAACGTCTGGCACTTGGAGCGCAGATCCGTTTTGTTATTCAAGGAGTCGTTGTCCTGGGAACACGAAACCTCCATGTTTTCTGGAGTTTGGCCTTCCGAACTCGAACTATTTGTAATTCAACAGGGCTAACGAGTCCTGGGAGCGTGGATCTGGCGTCCTTGACAAGGAGCCCTGGTCTTGGGAACGCGGACCCACTTCCGAATAACGAATGAGTGGTTGCCAATGTCTTCAAGAAGTGCAGTGGAGGTTCTGCGGGGGCGCTGGACGTCTGACGTCATTCGTTCTTCAGTGCTCACTGTAGGTTCTAGCGTCCCGGCTTGACATTATTTCTGATGGTTTTGGCCTTTCTGGGTTTTCGACACCAATGGTTCATGGAACGCCCCAGGCTCTTGCCACAGAACTGTCCCTGCCCTTCACGGCGTCTCGCTGTATAATTCAAGCGGTGGTCGAATGCGTTGCCCTCGCAGATTCGCTCCCTGGGGGGTCACCTGCTCCATCTCGGTGGTGCCTGCGCGATGCCAGCGCGGTGGTTTGCCTGGTGCCCGCTCGAGGATGGTTTGCCTCAGGCCCAGACAGCTGCAGTTCCAGGAGTGTGCTTGCTCAAGGATGGTGCGTCCTAGGTCCGCACGGTTCTGCGTCCCAAGCCGCTGCAGGTGAATTCCGTGGGCGTCCCTCTGAGGATGGTCAGCCCCAGGTCCGCATGACTTTGCGCCCCAGGTGCTTTCCGTGCAAGCTATTTCGAGAATTGTGACTCCCAGTATTTAGTTGTTGGTACGTCCCAGGTTTCGAAAGTGCGGCAGGCACGGGATTCTCCCCACTCCAGGTCATCCACGTCCAGAAAGTGTAACAGTGGGATCGGATTATCACAATGTTCGAGCTGAGCTTCGAAGCTCCCAAAAAGCGTTACGGCGACATCGGGTTATCACAATTCGATGTCCACCAGTTCCAGATAAGGCAGCGGGGGCATGGAATTCCGCCATATCTACAGTTCGAGGACGGTGCATGGGGTTCTCGCTATTCCAGGCCTCCCAGGTCCAGGAAGTCTGGCGCAGTGGATTCTCACAAGTCCATTTCCACAATTCCATATCTCCCATTCTGGCACTACATCCGAATCTCTGGAGCTTGCGAACCGATTCTGAATCGTGGCCTCCGATTTCGGGAACATGGCAATTCCCAAGTGCAGATATCAATGATGTTGGGTTTTGCAGCCTGTCCTCACGGTGCGGGCTGGTTGGATTTCGATCTGTTGGCTGGGTGATAAGTTGGTTGTCTTCTTGATCGGGTACTTGCCTGCTCGACTGCCTGGTGGTTCGGCGTCTTGCTTCCAGCTGTGCCCTTGCAGGCTCTGGCCCGCTGGCGTGCCCGCCCCCCCCCCCCCTCAGGGCGGCCTCGCGATCGCGGGGGCCAGGAACCAAACGTCCTTAGCTGCCCTGTTACAAGGGCACACGTGCAGTGGTCAAAACGTCCATGTTGACATGTTGCCTGTCGGTTCAACGTGTTGGCCCACGTTTGTGCGAACTCATCGCGCCAAGCGTACGTCTTCGATCTCCGTGTTGAGCTCCATGTCAACACGCTACGGGTTGCGTGTTGCGTGTTGGGGGAGCTAAGCCATCGTCGGCCTGTTGGCCTGGATCTCCCCTGCCTAAAACACATCACTCTACCTATGCTTGGCATCACCTTGCCTCGATGCACGCATCCCTGAGATTGTCAGCGCCTCTTCGGCTCGCCGACCTCAGGGATAGGGAAACGTTCGAGGCCGGCCAGGGTCGCACGCCACCGTGGCCCGTCCGGGCCACGGCGAGCCGACACGCTCGGGTTGACCCCAAAGGGGGTCCAGCGACAAGGGGGTGTGCAATAGATTTGGCGCAACAGATTTGTGGGGTTGCAATACATCTGGGGTGTGCAAGACTTTCTGGGGCGCACATGCATTGCTGGGCTTTCGCGTGCAATGCATTACTTGCAATACTTCGCTATACAATTCTCCAGCACAATACATTTGCAATACACTTGCCCCAAATCTATTGCACCACCCCCTTGCAGCTGGACCCCCTCTTGGGCCGCCCAACTACGCGAGCACCCAACCCCTCAGGCGCGGTGCAGCTCTCGCGGCGGCTCCTGCGGTGCCTCTCTGCCTCCCGGCGCTGGCGGGGCCTCCCGCGCAGGCCCCGGCTCCGGCCGCTGGACCTCCAGCTGGACGGCTCGGTAGCGCAAGTCGTGGGAGCTTGGTGTACAGTGGAGAAAGGTCCCAGCTGGATTTCCAGCTGGACTTTTCGGTAGCAAGTCAGCGTCGTCGATCCTCGTCCCAGGAAAGGTACGGTGCATAGTTGATCGGCCCTTAGAAACGAAGTACAGTGGGGGCCCATGCCAGGAACCACCCTGCTTGCCTCCAGGGTGCCCTGGGTTCTCTTGGGTTTGGATGGTTCTGACGTGGATGGCGTGGCGTTCCCGCACCAGAAGTCCATCGACGTCCTGGGGTCTCCGGGTTGGGTTTCTTGTGGAAGGTTTCTTGTGGGCTGGCTTCCACTGTACCGTCAGGGCGTTGAAATATGGGCCAGTTCGGGCTCAGGAGGGGCTGGGATGTTCAGGCCGTTACTTAGGTCGGGATCGGGGAGGCAACCTAGTTGCGGCCGAGGTTCGCCATGGCCAGCACAGCCCCTTCGTTCTTTAAATAGCGCTCTCTCTGGCAGTGCCATGACTGTACCCTTGTAGCTCCGTCTTTATGAGAGTGCGTTCGTGCCCATCATCGATGAGATAGTGCCGGCTTAGCGTCGAGCAGGGTCAATTCGCAAGAGCCAACAGAATGGTATGGGAGGCTCCCATGAGTTGCCACGGAAGGACGGCTTCCAGTGCGGCTGCTTCTGCCTGCTCCTCATGCGCCAGGTTCTGGATCGGGAGCGCCGCGGCCCGGCCGCCGCGGAGGTCACGGCGGAGGAGGCCCATAAGCTGCGGCAGCGCCTCCGCGGCCTGGCGCTGGCGCCGCCGCGCGCGCCCAGGGGCGGTGCGTGACGCCGCCACCGTGAGCCCAGGGCCGCCAATCCGCAACTCGGAGCTCGGCTACGCGCAGGGGTGACCCTTCGCCGGAGTGACCTCTGGTGCGGGCCCGCCTGGGGCTCCCCGATCGCCACATGCGATGCGAGAGCAGCGGCTTGGGCGCTGGGGTTTAGCCCCCCGCGCCCCGCAGAAGCCAGGCTCTTACCTGGGGTCCCTCTGGCGTGTCTCGGACGGGGCTAGTAGGAGGATAAATCTGTTCCAGAGCGTCCCGGAACGCTCTGAGAAGGGCGCGGCGCCCGAGACATCATCCAGAGCCGCTGGATCTCAGAGGTTCTCGACTTATCTTATCCTCGTCCTGGCTTCGTCTTGCGTGTCGCCGATGAGCTCGCGCCCTCAGCCGCCCAGCCCACCGCCCTGCGCCCACCGCCCTCCGAGTGCATGCGGCGCTTGGCCGAGACCTGCGGTGAACGACCGAGAGGCTCACCCACCTCCCCGCAGGCCACCCTGGGGGCCAGAGGAGGAGGAGGAGGAGGAGGAGGAGGAGGAGGAGGAGGAGGAGGAGGAGGAGGAGGAGGAGGAGGAGGAGGAGGAGGAGGAGGAGGCCTCGCCTTCAGCTCGGCTTGGCTGTTAATATTTGGGGGCTTATCCGCCGTAGTCCGATCAAGGTATTCTTTACGTGCTTCAGTGAGACCGAGGAAGCCCTTACAAGGCTGACCCAGGGAGCACAGCTGCTTTTCAGCGATAGCACCGCACAGGCCACAAGACCAAACCCCTGTGCCCGAGTGTACATTTGAAGAGTGAGCCGGATGAGCCAGCCCCCCATTCTGTGCACTCGCTCGACCTTCTTTGGGGACATGAGCATACCGTCTACGTTACACAGTTGAACGCATTGGCTGCTCCACCATTCACGCATGCTAGCTTTCGACGCTGACGAGAAGCATCTAGTGCATTTATGCTGGCAAACAGACAAAACATGAGACGAGAGGAGGGCGGAGACGGCGGTGGCAGCAGGGAGCGGCGGAGGAGGCGGGACGCCCGAGGCAGGACGGCTCAACATTCTCCCTCGCTCGGCGGCCTGGGCGGCCATCATGCTGTCTGGCGCCGCCCTAAACAGCCTGAGGCGCACCAGGTGCGCCTTCCTCTGGCACTGGAGCACTCGGCTCCTCTCGTCCGCCGCCCGCCTCGCCTCGTCGGCCACCTCGGAGAACAACACCACCGCGCTTCTGCCCGTGGCTGCGCCACGCACCAGTTCCCGGAGGTCCGCGCCCTCCCCTTTGGGGGAGAGATGGGCTCCAGCATGCCAGCCCGCAACCACATTCTCGCAATCTGAAACGTACACCGCATCTCCTGTTGAACCGATCAGCGCCATCGCAAACGCCTTCAGCTCACCTCGATGCACCGTCTGTCGAACACCCGTGGGCGGACCACGCACTGAAGGCCAACTGCTCATAGCCAGCCATGCGCACCGCAGCGAGCGCCACGCATCGAAGCTTAGATATCGCCATGTCTTTGCCTCCCGATGCATCTCCGAACCGCCACGCGGGGTCATCATGGGCGCCGTGTCCCAAGACGCCTGGTTCGAAGCCGCTGATGCCCTCCACCGTTGACGGGGGGGGGCGACACGGCAGCCCAGGGGGTCGGGAGCCTTCCCCGCAGCCATGAGGCTTCGCAGTTGTCGGCTTGGGCCATCGCCTCGGGAAGCAGGCTACTGGACCGCTCGTTCTTGGCTCATCGCCAGCTGCGGTGCATGGGACTCTCGTCGTGTGTCTCGCATTTATCGCGAAGTGTGCTGCCCGAGAATTTCTTGACCACCTCCTTATTTCGTAGCTTGGGCCAGGCCGCACCAGTAGCAACATTGGGCATCACCTCGGACAATCGTGGATCAACATCCTCCAAGTACTTGAGGAGGGCACGGTAGGAATCAATATCAGCTCCCGCCTCCAGTCCACTGCCACAACAGTGCTTTGCTGCCTGCCTCCAAAGTTTCGCTGCCGCCGCCGACCGAATCTCAGAAAGCAAGCCCCGATGGATATCTAATTATTGATTGCCTGTGTAGATTGAACCTGGAAGTTGACACAACAGAATCCTTCGTCTCATCCCGGAATGGCCACATACTTGGCTCCGCTGGCGTCCAATCCAAACGTATGAGCCAGAGCACAACCGCTGAGATGAGCCCATGCACTTGCCTGACCTGTTCCCTGCCGGGTCGGCCTGTCAATGAGCGCACGATTTGAGGCCATACCTGGCGTAAATCTGGATGTGCCTGCTGATTGCGCAACCACATGTCGATCACCTTTGCTGGACATTGAGCTGCAGGATCTGCGAAAGGCGCCCTCAGGCCCAGTAAGGTGGTCAAACACCTACCCTCTGTTCGGCGTCACCCCAACATACTTATACTATATGTGCGTCGCCCCCAACAGGGGCGACGCGCGCACCGCGAAATCTTATAGTATATGCGTCGTGGCGGGCGCTTTCTGGCCACACCGCTCGGGAAACGATCTACTACAAGATGTGTAAATTATATCTTCGGGCCGGACGCGCGCCTCCAAGGAGGACATCTGGTATTAGAATGGCCCTGTGCGTCCCATCTGTTCCTGCTGCACGCGTGGCTGCCAGTCGCCTTCTGCACTTCCTCAGCTGCAATGCCCGAGCACTCCGGGCACCTGAAAACCGTATAAGCCACCGCAGGCTGCCCTCCGGCTCTCTCGAGCCGCGGAGCGCGGTGGTACCGCCTGGACGCCCGCGTGAACCGCTTGATTCTTGGCGGCTACAAAGCGTATGGTTACGCCGGGGTGTGGTTTGCGATCGGCACCGTTGGGGCCTGGGGGGCACGACCCTGTCCTCGTCGGGCCTCCTCGGGGCGCGGGAGAACTCTATCTGGGTCCCCTCGCGCCCTCCCAGGGTGCTCTTCCAGGAGGTTCCCCAGGGTGCCGGTTGCAAACCACACCCGCTGCAAACCACACCCTTTGGAGTCGCCGAGATTTTATTATCATTAATCTTCTTATGATTGGCATTCCTTTGCGTTCTGATCTGCCGTCCCCGTCGCCCACGGTTGAAGTCCAATCCTAGATATGTTGCCCGACGCGCTGCCTGGATACGATCGCCCCTGATACGAACTGCGCGCACCACTGCCACTGCATCGTCTGCCGTCGTACAATAGGACCACCGACTTAGGAAACACTTCCAGCTGATTCGCCTCAAGGGAACGGCATGTGTCTACAATAGCCTTTACGTTGCTACGTCTGACTGCACTGCGAGATCCCACGACCTTCTGATGATTATCATAGGTCCACAGGCGGTGTCCCATGTGGGGGCTCGCTGCCGTGACCCGCGCCATCACGAATTGCATGAGCATTGCAAGCGAAGTGCGTGCCCGAACGAAGCCCCTGGACCACGCCCTGGGACGGTTCAAATGGACCCGTGGCGGCACTATACTGAATCAGAGCACGACATACGATGCTTTGCAACAGCTCTAACTGCAAAGCAACAGGAGGGAAGGACATCTCAAGCTCAGCTCGAGCCGAGCGCACCCACGGGACTCTGCCGTAGAAGGGCTGTATATCCGTGATCGTTTGGCCGCATTGCATCCGCATACAGCGGGGGCCAGGGGCCCATGCCAAGAAACACCCTGCTTACCTCCAGGGTGCCCTGGGTTGCTTGGGTTTCGATGGTTTTGCCATGGTCTTGCGATGGAAAGCGTGACGTTCCTACACCAAACATCAATAGACGTCCTGGGGTCTCAGGGTTGGGTTTCTTGTGGAAGGCTTCTTGTGGTCGGGCCTCCCTTGTAGTGTGCGCCCGCTTCTCGTCCATCGCTCGGAGATGCGCCTCCTGCAAGCAACTGTTGCCTTCTATGGCCGCGTCCCAGGCCGCCGTATGGTCTCTCGACCAATCGCGAACCAGAGGCTCGCGGATGAGAGACCACAGTCTGCCCAGCGTGGATGCCAGCCCGATCGCGCGATCCCCGGTTGCCCACTTGGGAATCCATCTCCCCATGATCAGCATAACCTGGATTGGCCACGTGAGTTGACACTCTATCGCAGGATCAGCGCCAACTCCGAGACTGCGCAAACTGACAAACGCTGAGGACCCACTGGAGCGAGCATGTCAGCCTCCAGGCCTGCTCGGGCCTTCATCTTCGCCGACGCGTAATACACATCCTCCGCCGTGATGCCCCTAAGCCCTAAGAGGTTCCCAACCAGCAGCCTCCTTGATTTCACGAAACATGGCAAAGGTAGAAGCTTCGTCGATCGGGGTGGGGGCTCACACCTTCTGATCAGCCCGCTGCTTGCAATCCATGGTGTCCTCGGGGCGGTACAGCAGGGTGCCCCCATCCATCATCTGGTTGGTCGGCAAGTGTGGAGGCCTGGGTGTCGTTGTGCAAGACTCCCATCGCCTATGGCTCGGTGATCCACTTCTTAAATTCCGACAGAGGGTCATGCATTGCCGCTCTCTGAGCGTGCTCCGTCACACGCCTCACCGACTCCGCTTGGGACTCCGACACAGGCAGTTGAATCCCCATCGGATCGGTAAGGGTGGATGTCCACTGGGTCCAGGGCGGATCTCGGCCGTCACGAACGATTGCATGGATGCCTGCAGGTCGTCCCGACAATACACAGCGACAAGCCTCAAGATATTGACCCATCTGTCGAGCCCCACTGCCACTCTGTCAATGCCTTGTGGTACCTTGCAGAACTGCATGTAGAAGCGTCCACCACTGGGACTTCGCGTCTCTAAGGTGTATCTGACGAGTGTGCGTGAGAGGAAAATGCGACGTGCCGGCTGAACCACAAAGCGTGGATTTGCTGCTCGGGAGGGGTGTCCCTGAGTCTGCTCCACACCGTGGTGCCGCAGAATAGCCAGCTCCACTGATCCCGCCTGCGCAGCATTACATTCCCCAGATGGCGATGCAACTCGCGCCCAGGGCTCCCAGGGAGCGTGAAACGCGGGGGCCAGGGGCGGGGGGGAGGGGGATCGCCCGGAGCTCTCGTGAGACCGGCTGGGGACTGGGTTTCGTCGCGTCCGAAATCCCCACTCTGACCGTCTACCGAATCGGAGCTACTTTGCGCGAGACCAGCATGCGAAGAAGGACGGTCGGCCTCGAGGGCGGCTCCACGTCCATCGGCGCCCGCTGCGAGCTGCCGTCCACGCCGTCGGAAGCCTCGGCGGCGCTGGCAGGCCTGCGCGGGCCCTGGGCGTCGGGAGGCAAAACCTCACTTTTGGGCGCACAACGAGACGGACTGAGGTTGAGCTCCTCCTTCCGAGGGTCCTCTTCCTCCTCCTCCCCCTCCTCCTCCGCAAATATAACTTCTGAAATTCGTGAGATGGGTCTTCGGCAGCCTCGGGGTCGAGATCTCTGATCCATTCGCCGCCAGGCTCGAGAGACGGGTGAGATCGAGAGCTCTCTTGACCGCCCTCGAGGCAATCGCCGAAAAGAGACCGAATGCGCTCAGACCTTTCATCGCGAGTAGTCCTGCACGCTAGATCCCGCCGGGCCCGAGCATGACTACTTTGGGACCCAGGAGTGGGCTCCGCCTGAGGTCGAGGGCATTGGGGCAACTTCCTGGGGAGCTCAAGCACTCTCGTAGTGAGCTGGGGGGCCGAGCTCCTGCGAGAAACAGCAAGACCACAGGGCGGTTTCCATGGTGCCGGTTTCGCCGCAGACAAATTTTTATTAACGGGACGGCCAGGTCACTCATGACAATGGAATCTAGCATGCTGCCAGGTCCTTTTTCAAGGGAGGGACAACCGCCCCGACCCGACAACTGGCATTTACTGAACGGCCCTGGGCGTTTACTAAACAGCCCATCCCTGTTCGATTCCTCTTGTGGGCGCGTTTACTAAACGACTTCGCGTGTTGGGGTGGTTATTATGGGGGCTTGTCCTTTTACAGGAAGAATCTTCACAATTAGTCAGGAAATAGTCAGGGGACAATTATTATAGTAGTTTTGACTATTTTCGAATATTCCTGAGTACTTTTAATTTTCCGTCGGAAATCGGCCTTTAGGGGGACATGCCCGACCTAAATCTAGCATGCTGCCAGGTTTTTTTTCAAGCGAACGCGTGCCCTCGATGCCTGGCGCACTTCGCGCAGCGGTGTCAGCGCGCTGGACGGCGTGCGACTTTTCGCGAGGTCGGACGGTGGCAGAGTGAGCTCACCAAGAAGAGCCCAGGGCCAGGGCATGTGAGCGGCAGAAGCGAGTCCTCCAATCGGATGGAATCGCGCAATACAACACGTGCCAGCGATGCCTGGCGCACTTCGCGCAGCGCCGTGTGCGCGCTGGACGACGTGCGACTTCGCGAGGTCAGACGGTGTCAGATTGAAGTCACCAAGAAGAGCCCAGGGCATGTGAGCGGCAGAAGCGAGTCCTCCAATCCGATGGGATCGCGCTCTGTTTCGGGACTTACACCGATCGAGGACAATCCATGAAGAGTGACCGACCTTGAGAATCCAGTCAAGCGCAGCACAATCGGCAACACTCCATCCAACGACGCCCGATGACTTGGATCCCGAAGATGACGCCCAGCCCAACAGCACGAACCTCTGGTAGGACGTGGGTAGGACGTGTGCCTGCAGATGCTGCCGAGCGAAAAACACCTCCCCGCCCTCATTGGAGCGAGCTTGCGCATGGAATCGTTTTCTTATTTACTATTCTGCCGATCGGCGCGGGACCCCTCCACCCCCCCATGGAGTAGATCTTGGCTGTTTTTGGTGCCTGTTTCGAGCAGGTGGAGTCTCCCCCATAGGACGCACTGTCGCAAACAGTCACACTAAGCAGAGGTCTGGAGCCAGACCCCCCCCTCCCCCCCTTCCGCCCAATGTCGAAACGCCGAGAAAGAAAACTCTCACCATTCTGCACCTTGCAAGCTTCCCCACTCACGCGTGCTGGATTCTGGTGGAGCTGCAGCTTTGAACCCCTGGCCTGGGCGCTCCACGAGCCAATCTCCGTGTCCAAATGACAGTGGGCCTCCCTCAAAGCCCAGTGCTCGTACTCAGCGATCCGAGACTCCATATACTTCCAAGTGCGCTCTCTGAGCTCTGTGGCATTTGCATAGAGCAGCTTGGCTTTGTCGAGCTCTCCCTCATGTGCCTCAGCGTTTACGGGCTGAGGCGCAGCTGGCTGGGTCTCGGCTGGCGGGAGGCCGCCTGCACCGACGGGCGCCGCGCCTGACCCACTTGCCGCGGCCGGGCCTGATGCTGCTCGCCCCTTCTTCGCCATGTGCTCGGTGAGCAACTTCTTTTGCTCCTGCGCGCTGGCCGACCGCTTCTGCACCTCCGACGTCTTGCCCGCAAGGTCCGCGCGGACCCCGATGAGCTGCTGGTGGAGTTGCTCGAGGGCCTTCTTCTCCTCAGGACTGGGATCGAGCTTACCGGTGCACATCTGGAAGAGAGGGCCGTCTGACGATGCACCCCCTCGCGCCCTGGGGCCTGCGCGACCTCGGCCTTGGCCACGGCGACAGCCGCTGCCTTTTTGGCCTCGGCTGCGCGGGCGAGGGCGAGAGCGGCCTGCTGCTCCTTCTCCTGAGCCGCCGCGAGGTTGCTCTGCAGGCGCAGCACGCTGGCCACCGCCTGCTCGCGCATGTGCTCTGCACTGCGGTGAGCCCCCTCGGCGCGGCGAAGGGCCCCGCCTGGGCTCTCCTTGTCATGGAGCCCCTGCTCGGCCGCACTGGCCAAGGTAGACACCTGCGACCGGAGGGCCTGCTAGAGCTTCGCGTCCGAGGTGGGGGCGATGGCCTGGAGCAGCAGCGTCCTGACGTCCGCGCCGTGGCCCTTGCCACGCGGCCTGCCTTCGACTGCGATTGGTCAAGATGCCTGGCAGGAGCGGTCCCTGCAGCTGGGGCCCCTCATCTCTTGAAACTCCTCATCGTCGGCACCGAACGAAACCTTACCGGCGGGGAACGAAAGGCTCGAGGTGATGCTGACAATGGGTACATTTGTTGCGATTCGTCCAGGTGATGCTGTTCCACTCGCACTTCTGACAATGACTGCAACTGGTCCAGAGAGAGCCTGGCTGCTGGTTCCTGGTCATGGCGGCACAAGCTGATCCTCGGTGTTAGTTGAGGGTCCCGCGACAGGGGCGCGGTAAACTAGTCCCTCGAGCGCTGCGTGGAAGCCCCGAGGATTGGGCCCAAAATAGGGTTGGAGCCCACGTTGCTTGAAAGGGGGAGGGGGAGGGGGAGGGGGAGGAGGAGGAGGAGGAGGAGGAGGAGGAGGAGGAGGAGGAGGAGGAGGAGGAGGACCAGTGTAAAACCAAGAGTCATCAACGATGTTGGAATTAACCCTCCCTCCAAGCTCCCTCTTCATAGGCCCCCTACAACGGGTCATTTCCATTAAGGGAACTGCCTCGTTGGAAGAACGGTTTGAAGATCCTGAAGCATGCCAAAATCTTGTTCTCGGAATTTCAACGCCACAAATCAGCCTGACTGCTGCGTCTTGCGATCCGGAATCGTGCCGGAGCGCCACTTCTGGGACCGAAACACCGCGAATCAACATAACTGTTGCACCCTCATAATCCTGAATCCTTCCAGAACGCTATTTCTTGTACGCTGACCCTTGCAAAGTTTTATAACGAATGGACGCGGCGCGAAGGCGAGAGTCACATGTTGAAAATGAACCGCCCTCAATCCGTGAAGCTCTTGTAAATGTGTAATACGAATGTGCGCGGCGCTGAGGCGACAGCCACATGTTGAAAACAACCCGCCCGCAATCCGTGAAACTGTTGTAAGCTTCAGAATCATGAATGGTGAGGAAGTCTCAGGCGAAACGCCCAGCCCGCCCTGAAAACTGGCCTCGGGGTGCGACAGGGGGAAGTTATCTATAAGGATAAGGACTGGAGGAGGAGGATGAGGAGGAGGAGGCGGAGGAGGAGGAGGAGAAGGAAAACGCCACAGGTTTTGTTCCTAAGGTTTGCTTAACGTAAATTGGAGGAGGAGGCGGAGGAGGAGGAGGAAGAAGAGGAAGAGGAAGAGGACGAGGAAGAGGAGGATGAGGAGGAGGAGGAGGAGAAAAAGAGGAGGAGGAGGAGGAGGAGGAGGAGGAGGAGGAGGAGGAGGAGAGAGGAAAAGGAAGAGGAGATGATGATGAGGAGAGGCGGAGGATGGGGAGGAGGAGGAGGAGGAGGAGGAGGAGGAGGAGGAGGAGGCGAGGAGGAGGAGAGGAGGAGGAGGAGGAGGAGGAGGAGGAGGAGGAAGAGGAGGAGGAGGAGGAGGAGGAGGAGGAGGAGGAGGGAGGAGGAGGAGGAGGAGGAGGAGAGGGGAGGGGAGGGGAGGCGGAGGAGGAGGCCGTGCTCGCGGTGGAGCCAGGCCCCGTCCGCTGCTAATTCGGAGCCCCTTGCTGCACTCAAGGCGCTCAGCAGTCCTCACCGTGCGAGGCACGGCGGGGATCGAAAAGTTCTAAGGGGGACATGGGCGGGAGAACTGGAGGAGGGAGGAGGAGGGGGAGGTGAGGCAAGCGAGGGGGGATTATCAAGAGGGAGTGGGAGGCGGAGAAGGGGAGGAGCTGATGGAGGAGGGAGATGAGCTGGAGGAGGAGAAGGGGAGGAGGGAGAGGAAGGCGAGGAGTGTGAGGGGGAGGAGGGGGGAGGAGGGGAGGAGGAGGAGGAGGAGGAGGAGGAGGAGAGGAGGAGGAGGGGAGGAGGGGGAGGAGGAGGAGGCGGAGGAGGGGGCGGAGGCGGAGGCGGAGGAGGAGGAGGAGGAGGAGGAGGAGGAGGAGGAGGAGAAGCATGAGGAGGAGGAGGAGGAGGACAAGAGGAACAACGAGAGCGAGAGAGGGATGGTCTGGCTACATGCTCCCCGCCATCCCCTTCCCTCTCGGTGTGTTGCGGTGCCGATCTGGCGCCCGTGAACTGATCCCTCGCTGCCAGGCTATCCCTCCTCCGCCTCAATTCCTCTACATATCATCCCTCGTCGTGGTTATCCTCCTCTTTCCAGTGGCTCCCGCTGCACCTCCTGAGTGTATGACAGCAGAGGCTGAACATTTTCCTTCGCCCGGTGACAAAAGCAGTGAGATGGTGTCGCCGTGTGCCAACACGTAAGTGCATCCTCCTTCACCGCCCGACTTTTGTTGCCATTTGGGCTCCGTTTCTGAACAACGGTTGGGCGCATACATGCTGGCCATTGGGCCGTGCGCCCTCGAGCCCAAGGGTGCCCCCCGCGCATGGCGCGCCGCAGGGCCCCCGCGTGGCGGCAGAAAGAGGGGGGTACGAGCGGGGATGGCTGCGGGCACCGCCGACAGCGGGGCCTCGCTCTCAGCGGCCTTGCCGTAGAGGCATGGCTTGCCGGGTCTCCGACTCAGGGCCGCAGCGGGCACCGGCGGCGCCCTTCGCGCATGGCGCTTCGCAGTGCGGCGGCTCCTCCCACAGCCAGGCTTCGCCTGGGGAAAGAGAGGCAGCACTGTTAACGGCGGCGCCGAGAGCTTCGCCGACAGCCTCACAGACTACGGCGGTCGAGAGCTTCGCCGACAGCTGCGCCAAGAGCTTCCCCGAGAGCTGCGTCGAGGCGTCGCAGGCAGCGTCGCCGACAGCTTCGCCGGCAGCTACGCCCACGTCTCCGCCGACAGCTCTGCCGAGTGTTTCGCCGACAGCTTTGCCGACAGCTGCGCCAGAGTGCTCCGCGGAGAGCTCCGCCGACAGCTGCGCCGACGGCTTCGTCAACGGCAGCCGCATCGACAGCCTCGACGATCGGCAGCTCCGCCGACAGCTGCGTCGACGGCAGTATCGGCAGCTTCGCTAAGGGCATCGCCGACGGCCCCGCCGACAGCTTCGCCGACAGCCTCACGGACCACGGCGCCGACGGCCTCGCGGACACCTTCGCCAGGAGCGACGCCGACAGCATCGCCACCCCGCGAACTTGGCGACGTCTGCAGCCTCCTGGGGCAGAGGCGGGGGCTCCGGGTGCCCGTTGAGCTCGGCGAGCTCCAGCGGGTCCAACGTTACGGACCAGTAGGAGGCGACGGGTCCAAGCGACCGCCCGCCGTGCCGCAGGCGAGCAGGGGCCGCGCGTGCCTCCGGGAGATCGTGCTGCTGCGCGCCGCCCGCGCTCGGCGTGGACGCGGCCCCCCGCCTCGTCGCGGGAGCCTACCCCAGGCTCGACTTTTGGGGGGGCCTCGCCTGGCAAAGGGAACCCCCTTCGTGCTCCTCCTTCGGCCCGGCGGGTCTCCTCGCGAGAGAGCGCGGCGGCGTCCAGTCCCCGGGGCTCGGTGGAACGTCGGCCGCCGTCGCGAGGGGGCTCCAGCTGGGCCCTATCGCGTGTCCACTCGGGTAGTCCTGGACCCGCGTCTCCCGTTGGACACCCACGCGGCGAAGGCGCCCGCCCCATCCTGGGCCCCTCCTCAGCCGCGGGCGGGGGCGGGCGCTCAGGAAGAGGCGTGGGGCCTCAGCGCGGCAGGACCTACGAGTCTATGTGGGGCGGGAAGGGCTTCGGGGCCGCGCAGCGCTGTCGCCCCTCTGTCGCCCGCTTGCATGTGCGAGCCAGATGGAACGCCGCTGGGTCGACCTCGCTTGGTCCGAGACCATCTGGACTCAATCCATTTCGTCGCTGACCTTGCTTGGTCCGGACCGTGGCCTTGACTGGCCGCAGGGGGCCCACCGCGACAAGCCTCGCAGGCTGTCCGCGATTGGCTTCGCAGACCATCATCACCCTCGAGGCTCAGCAGGCCTCTCGACAGGCCTCACAGGTTTTCATATCGCAGGTCTCGCGAACCTTTCGGAGAGATACGCAGCTGGAAGACCTCGGCGCGACCCGCGGGCAAGAACAGCGACAGAATCGACGCGACGGGGGCGTCTTCGCCGACAGCTGGACCAACGGTCTCGCCAACGGCCTCGCCTGCAGCCCTGCAGCCTCGCTGGCGTCGGGGGCTTCGCCGAGGCTTGGGACGACGGCCTCGTCGAATTCTTCGCCGACGGCCTCGTTGACAGCGCCGACGGCAGGGCTGACAGCTTCAGCAACAACTCCGTCAACAGTTTCGTCGACGAATTTGCCGCGAGCCCCGCTGATCGCCTCGCCAGCTGCTTCGCCGCTTGTTTACCTGGCCGCGGCGCCGATAGCTTCGCCACTAGCCTCGACGACGGCGTCTTCGACGGCGGCGCTTCGTCGCCAGCTTCATCGACGGATTCGCCGATCGCCTCGTCGACAACTTCGACGACGCGTCGCAGCGGCCCCCCTGACAGATTCGCCGAAAGCCTAGTTGAGAGATCCGTCACGTCAACAGCTCCGCGGTCAGTTCCGTTGACAGATTCGCCGAACGCATGGCGGACGGACCCGACAGCAGCTTCGCCAACATCGCAGACTACGGCGCTGACAGCTTCACCAACAGCCTCGTTGGCAGCGGCGCCGGCAGCCGGGCGGGCCACGGAGCCGACAGCTTCGTCGGCAGCTTCGCCGATGGCTTCGTCGACCGCTTCGTCGAGAGCATCGCCAATTCCTTGGTCAACTGCCTCAGCGATTGCATCGCAGACATCTGCGCTGACAGCTTCGTCAACGGTTGGGCCGTCAGCTTCATCGACGGCTCCGCTGAGTGCCGCGCTAATTGCCTCGTTCGATCCGGGGGTGCGACGGGTCTGCCAGAGGTGCTGGTGCCACGTCGCAAACCAGACGACGGTTGCAGCCCCCGAGGGCGCGGGCGGGGGCTCGGGAAGCTCGCAAGTTCCACGAGCTCCAGAGGGTCCGACGAGATGGGCCAGCAGCAGGAGGCAGCCCGCTAAGGAGAGCGTCCAGCCGCCCGCGGCGGCCTGCGCCAGGTTCGGCTCGAGGAAGGGCTTCGGTACCGCGCATCACGTCTGCGTCTTGCTTGGTCGGGCCAGCTGGACCGTCGCGCGATCCGGAACCATTGTTTGCTTAAGCATTTGCAGCGCCGACCTCGCTTGGTCAGGACCGAGGTCGCGCCGGGTCCCTGGGGCCCACCGCGACAGGCAGCAGCAGCGCCGACGATGGGCAGCGGCGTGGTCGCGGTGCAGCAGTGGCGCCGTGCAGAGGCGACAATGGCGAGCACTGGCGTTGAGCAGCGCCAGCGAGGCTCAAACAGCACCGACGCTGAGAATCAGTACCACCGCAGAGTAGCACGCGCGCTGAGCGGCAGCACCGACGCATTGCGACAGCACCGACGCTGGGCGGCAGCGCCGTAGCACCGACGCAGTGCAGCTGCGCCGATGCAGCGGTGACCAGCAGCTCCATGCACTCAGTGCCACGCAACGAGCAGACCTACGTGCAGCAGCGCTGGTGCAACCAGCACGTGCAGCACGCAACCAGCAGCTCCACTCACAGCATCGCCGCGTGTGCAACCAGCTACACCACCGCGACCCGCGGCACCACGGCGAGGCCCAGGGGCCGCCTGTAGCGCATCCACGAGCGCATCTCTGGGGCGCGGGAGGCGTGCGCCGGAATGGCGACCGGCAACGCCGCTGGCGGCTCTTCGGCGACGACTGCAGCGCTCACAGCTGCGCCGACAGCGCCAGCGGGGCCGACTGCGGCATCATCGGCAGCGTCGGCTAGCACCCTTCGCGGCTGCGCTGGCACCCTCGGCGGCACGACGGTGACCAGAGAGCCGCGCGCAGCGGCACCGACGCAACCAGCTGCACCGCAGTGAGCCCCACGGCGGCGCCATAAGGGCGGTGTCTCGTCTGCCGAAGGTTCGGCCGTGGGAGCGGCTGCCCCGGACTCGGCCCGGAGGGCTCCCGCCCCGCGGCGGGGCCAGCAGCCCATGCGCAGCGGCGCCAGCATGATCTCCAGCACCTCGACGACCGGCAGCGCCCCGACAGCGCCAGCAGCGGCGTGGCCAGCAGCCTGGCTAGCAGCGATCACAGCGACCGGCAGCGCCACGCCGAGCAGCGCTACGCTCGGCAGCCCCACTCGCAGCAGCACGAGCGCGACGCCAGGCAGACAGAGAAGAACCCGCGCACCGGGGACGGCGCCGAAGTGGGCACAACGATCCCAATGATCAAGCCCATGTTGGAAATACTGGCCATCAGCAGCGACATGGTGTCCACCAGCCTGGAGGTTGAATGCAGGCCGTGAGGTCGACAGCGTGGCTGTTTGGAAGAATCGGTGATCGGCAATCGGATTTTGGCGTTGGCGGGGGACGCCGAGATCACCGCGGGAAGCCGGGACAATCACCGCGGAAAGTCCGGACAACGTAGAGATCACCACGGAGAACCGGAGTCGGTGATCGGCAATCGGTCCTCCTCGGCGTCGGCGGAGGACACAGAGAGCACCGCGGAATATCCAGGCCCTGGACGTGTTTCGTGACCACCCTGCCGATCGACATCGCCTGCGCAACAAGTGGGTGCCTTGTGGGCGTCCCGTGTTTGAGGGGTATGTCGAGGTTGCGCCACGTTGCCGCCCGTGCTGTCTTGTGTGTGTCTAGTGGGCGCTCCGCGTTTGGGGGGTATGTCGAGGTTGCGCCACGTTGCCGCCCGTGGCGTCTTGTGTGCGCCTCGTGGGCGCCCCGCGCTTGGGGTGTATGTCGAGGTTGCGCCACGTTGTCGCCCGTGCTGGCTCGTGGGCGCCCCGTGAGGTTACACAACGTAGCTCTAACGACATAGCTTACACCACATAGCTTGTCGCATAGCTTTCACCACTCAGTTTACACCCCATAGCTTGCACATCGCGTAGCTTACACCCTATAGCTTCCACCTGTAATTTGCACCGCGTAACGTACTCGACATAGCTTACGCCACATAGCTTACACCACATTGTTGTTCCTCACGAATCATACACGACGTTGATCGCAGCACATCGTTTGCATCGCGCAGCTTACACCGAATAGCTTGCGCGCCATAGCGTGTACCACCTGGCGTACATCTACTAGCTTACACCTCCAGCGCACACCGCATAGCTTACACGACGTAGCTTCACAACATTGCTTCCACTGTATAGTTTGCATTCCATAGCTCACTCCACATAGTCTACACGCTATAGCTTTCACCACATAGCTTCCACCATATAGCAAACACCTCCACAGTGCAATAAGGCACTGTTTGAGGTCCATGCTGGCTAACATACGTATGTCAATACAACTATCCTTTCATAGCCACTATGGCTCACAACATTTCCGTACTGTAGACTCCGCGAAGGATTGATAACTTCAGACATGGTTTTCCGCCTCCGCTTCGTCGCGATCCTCATTGCGCTCGCGTGCGGTGCGAACGCGCTCAAGACTGAGGCCGAGGCTTACACAGCCACTGTCCATGGCAGTACTTCGCTGCAGGTAGCTCGCCAATCTATGGCGGACGCGAGGGGCGATCTTGGCGTCAAGGCCGACGCCAAAGGAGGTTCCCACCATGATAGGGACAAGTGCGATGCGTTTTCGCTGGACCAAGCAGGGTGCATTGCCCATAATGATTGTGTGTGGATGAGTGGTGGCTATTGTGTCCCGAAGAGTTGACCAACCCAACCTGCGGCTGTGCGTTGACGGAGCTCTGTGTGGAGGGCGAGATGCCGCAGGTAGGATGTCTACATATGCGCATCCTGGACGGGGATTTCTGCATCGTACCGGCATATGTTTCGGAAGAATGGACTCGTTTTCTTGGTAGACGCGTTAGCGCTGGAGTGGGCGATCGGATACTTATTCACGGCATTCGGGTTGGAATGAGTTAGCTGGCGCGCAAGTTTTCCCTTGCAGCGGGCAGTACTGTAAACTCTTTATCTCTGGCTGCTTGCTCGACGCATCGTGCCTGTACTGAAAGAAAAAAAGAAAGGCTACTGTAGACAAGGATAGTCGCAAGTGAATGGCGGTTGTCAGAGAAGGGCATGCGCGCCATAGGTTGGTGTTTAGCTGCTACTGCCGCTTCTCAGCAATGGGCTTCCTGGTGAGAGGGGCGCGTTTGATTGTCCAGGGTCTCCTTGTTTTGTGCGTAACGCTTGGAAACCACTGTCTGGAGACATCACTTTAAAATGCTTAGCATTTCCAACCTGTCCAAGTGGTCTCGTTGACAGTATGGTACCCTCTTGGAGGCCTGGCGAGGGCATCTTGAGGGCCTCTTGGGCCGTCTGGTGGGCCTCTTAGATAATTTTGGGAGTCTGTTGAGAAGGGACGGGTGATGGCAGAACGCCTCGCCTTTTCGGGGGCCTTCTTGGAGGCAACAGAGAAAGACGAGAACACACCAATGCCCTCATTGTGGTTTTGCGCATCGGTGTTTCTGGGCCAAGGGAAAACAGAAGAGGCCGTTACATCAAGAGATCCGCCGAAGCTGGTCCTCCTCCTCCTCCTCCTTCTCCTCCTCCTCCCCCTCTTCCGCCTCCCCTCCTCCTCCTCCTCCTCCTCCTCCTCCCTCCTCCTCCTCCTTCTCCCCCTCCTCCTCTTCCTCCCCCTCCTTCTCCCCCTCCTCCTCCTCCTCCTCCTCCTCCTCCTCCTCCTCCTCCTCCTCCTCCTCCTCCTCCTCCTCCTCCCCTAGGAATTCCAAGAACCTGCTGGGAGGAGCCCTGGGCACGCCCCCTGGCCACCACCTTCCGCCGTTCACGTGGCGAGCGCAAACAGCAGAAGTTGACATCGCTTGGGCCGCCCAGCTTGGGAAATTCACGTGGCAGCTGCAGACTGGTCATGGCGCCAACATTGTAACATAGCAGAGCGGATTTCGTTCGGAAAACGATAGGGTCGGGCCGGAGTGTCCTGGAGAATTTCGTTCCGGATTTCGAGGTGAATTTCGTGCGGTTTCTTTTGGCCAGGAATGAAGACCAAAAAGAATCCACGCGAAATTCATTTCTTTTTTCGCTCGCCGCTTCGGGCAAACAATCCACGCAGAAATCCGCGGCAGCACGTCTGCAAGGCCAGTGCAATGAGATTTGGCTCATACCATCTTGAGCGCGTGGCTCTCTCGCTTTGCGGCGTGGCGTCGCCCCGATGCCCCGCGCCTTGCCGTGGTCCGCCCTAGCGTTGGTGGCATGGTCGCGGGCGCGGCCCAGCGGCGTGGTGGCTCCAGAGGACGGCTCCAGTGAATGCGAAGCGGATGCTCCGGAGGACGCCGTGCTGGCGCGGTTCGCGGACTGCCTCTTCACGGACGCTGACTGCCTCAGCCACCTGAATGCGTCGTCGGGTGCAGATCTCGTGCGAACCGGGGATGTTATGGCGGCCTTCGAGAAGGTCGGTAGGGACGGCCTGCACGCCGGCAGCATCAAAGCCCCTGAGTGGGTGGAGAGGTTCGCTTCGCACCGGTGTGTAGGGGCGGTCGAGGTGCTGCCGTTCCCGGAGTCAGCCACTGCTGCCGACTCGCTGCGGACGCGCTTGCGTGAGTTAAGCGCCACTGGCCCGCAGCCGCTGCTAGTGCACGTAGATGGTATCAATGACGGCTTGGGCGCGCGCTTCAAGAAGGCGATAGAGGTGGTCGCTGCAGCGCTGCAGATGGGCTTCTTCGCGGTAGCCCTGGCGCTGCCGCCTGCTGGAAGCGCGGTGCACCTGGCGGAGTGGGAGCACGGCGCAGTGTGGTGCCACGAGAGCCCCGCGGGCGCGCCGGGCGACCCAGGCGGGCAGCTTTATCCGCTGATCTGCTGGCGCTTCGAGCTGCAGGCCGACCTGCTGGGCCAGAGCCCGCGGCCGGAGGGGCGCGTGCTGCTGTGGGGCGCGCCGGGTGGGCGGGCGCCTCCCGGCCCGGCGGGCGCGGGTGGTTCCCCGCTCCGCTGCTTCCAGTTCAAGGCCAAGGGCGGGCAGCTTCCAGAGGTCGGCGGCGAGCGAGGGGGGGAAGGGAGATGGCGAAGGCCTTCTCAGAAGGCGGCGGGGCTTCCCAGAGGGCCCCGCGCCTCCCGAGAAGTGTTCGGTGTCTTCGGGTTCGGTGTCTTCGGGGAAGGCTTACAGGAAACTTCTCAGAAGGCCAGGGAACTTTCGAGCTTAGCTGCTGAGAAGGCTCGCTCCCTCTCACTTCCCCCCCAGGCTCGCCGCCGAAGAGGGCCTCGTCTGGAACTTTGTCGCGCGCGAGGGCGTCTCCAAAGCCGCCCGGCAACGGCTGTTCGAGAGCGCGCGCGCCTTCTCGGCCCCGCTGCGCCAGCTGGCGGGCCGGCGCGAGGCACGTTGCGGCTTTGGCGGGCCAGATGACTTGCTGCACGCCGCCGTGCACGTTCGGCGCGGGGACGTGGGGGACTCTTCGATGTATGCCGTCACCCAGCAGATGAGCCTCGAGGAAGAAAACATCGCATCGACATACACTTTCGGAGCTCCGCGCGGACTTCTCGGATCTGCGCTGCACCCCCTTTGGGCAGCGCCTCCAGCACCCGCCCCGTGGACGCGCTCGGCGCGCCAGGGAGGCGGGCCCAGCGCCGCTCCAGGCAGTGCGCGCGGAGCTCCGAAGGGTGGTGCCCGTGCCTTCTTTTGTTGCTCCAGCAACAAGGGCTCCTTCGCGCGCTGGCTGTGCGGCCTGCCGGGGCGCGGCCGCCGGCTGGCGGTGCACGTGTACACCGAGGCACGGGGCCTGTCCCGCGAGGCCCTCCGGCAGAGCAACCTGTCCGGCTTCGCCTTCCCGCCGGCAGCCGGTGACGCGGACGCGCCACGCTTCCACGCGACCGGCAGGCTCGAGCCCCCCGCGCCCTGCGACAGTGTGCTCCAGGAGGTGCACTTCGTGGTCAACAACAACCCCCGCGAGGCGCTCCTCTGCATGGCGCGGGCCGACGTGCTGGTCACGAGCTTCAGCAGCCTCGGGTGGGCTGCCGCTGTGTTCAACGGCGGCACCGTCTACCACCCGAACCCGAAGCACTACCAAAGGGAGCCGACGCACTGGGACCTGCGAGAGCAGTATCTGGACTGGGCGGACAATTGGTTCCTGATGGCCGACGGTGCTGGAGCTCTCCGGTGCACCGCCTTCGCGCTGCTCCTGCCCGCATTATTGGCAGTGGGCGGGCACGTGCCGTGACTGCGTCGAACGGACACATCTCACTTGCAGGTTGCCGTCGAGGCAGACGGGCTGCTCCGATAATTAGGCAGCGCTGTCGCTCCTCTGATCTCCCAGGCTGGAATCGATAGGCAGACATTCACAGCAGGAATCGGCCGTGTTTCGTTTCCCTGCCTGCTACCTTTTGGGCTTGGGGGTAGCTTCCTTCGGCCGTCTCCGACCCGCCATTATTCACAGGAAGTTGCGCTCGGTCTGGAAACGATGTGTGACGAGGAAGTAATGCCTGAACGTACAATGCGTACTTGCATATGCATGCGCACGCACATTGGCACGCACACGCGTAATGGCGCGCACGTGCGTGCACAGGTTCAGGTGCACGTGTCCGTCCGTGCGCACGCACGTGCGCTTGCACTGGCATGAGGCGAGGCCACAGGCCATGGCAGAGAGACACAGAGAGAGAGAGAGAGCGGTGTGCCTCCTCCCCCTACCCTGAAGTCGGGCATGTCCCTCTACAGGAGGAATATGCAATAGTAGCCAACAAATAGTATGTGGACGATTTGTCGAGTGTGTTTTGACCAAATTTGAGTATTGCTTGGCTATTTTGATTTTTCCTCCAAAATCCGCCTGTATGGCGACATGCCCGACCTAACCCTACCCTGGTTTCCTCTGCAGCGCCGAGAGGGACAGCTCGGCTCGCTCTGGACAGAGCCGGCCGAGGAGCAACTCGGAGTCTCCACCTCTTGTTGCCTTGCCCGCGCGCTGCACAGCACGCGCCGCTTCTGGCCCTGAAGAGGACCCCGCATCCGAAACAAATCGCCAGGGAGCATGTGTTGAGGTCCGCATTCCTCGGCGGCGAGCGAGGGGGGGGAGTGAGAAGGAGAAGGCCTTCTCAGGAGGCGGCGGGACTTCTCAGAGGGCCCTCGCGCCTGTGCCTTCGGGGAAGGCTTCGAAGGCTTCTCAGAAGGCCGGAGGACTTCCGAGCCTTCTCCAAAGGCCCGCCCCCTCTCGCTTGTCCCTGGGCTGGCCGCCGAATTACACCAAGGTCGGGGGCCTTGAGACGGGGGTCAACTTAAACGGAGCTCAGCCAGAGCGCCAGATCTTGCAGGATCCTGGGCTTGGGTGCATTGACCTGGCCAGGGTCGCATTGACCTGGGCCTGGGTGCAGGATCCTGCAGGCAGGGGGCCACATGCGAACCCTACCCCTACCCCCCACGACTTCTGAGGGGGAGGGTGGGGCTCACTTCGTTCGGGAACTCCCGAGCGAAGTGAACCCCATCCTCCCCCTCTGAAATCGTGGCGGGTAGGGGTCGGTTTCGCATGTGGCGCCCTAGCAGGATCCTGCACGATCCTGCAAAGCCTGACTGACCCAGGTTTGCATCGACCCAGGTCAGCAGAAGTCCGACGGAGGTGCCTCCTCCTCCTCCTCCTCCTCTTCCTCCTCCTCTTATTCTCAGCGACCCGTCCTCAACGGCTTCTACAGTCTTTCGGCCCTAAGCTTGCCCCGCTCGCCCCCCAGCTTCCCCGCCGCGCGCGCGGCCAGGGCGCCCGGGGGCTTGCGGTTGCCACCGCCGCTCAGGCCCCTCTTCTTCTACGCGGCGGTGTCCTGCTTCCTGGGCTACGAGCGTTCTTTGGGTCACTGCCGTAGGCAGGGGTCCCATCGCTTCCTCCGTGCTTTGGCTGCTTCGGGGTCGCGCCTTGACCCCGCCAGCCAGAGCTCGGCTGGGGGTGGGCCGGCTACCTCCTGTGGGCACCCGGCAGCGGCGAGAGTGCACCCTCTCCGCTCGGGCGCCGCTGCCCCCTGGCAGTGCGCGCCCGTGTCATCCGGGCTTGACTTCAGCCAACCCGTCCAAGCAGGCGGCTGGCCTGCTCGCGGGTTCCTCCCGCGCCGGCCACAGCGTTTGCACGCGTGGCGTTAGCTTCGGGCTTCCGCCCTGCAGGCTCGGCGTCCGATGGCGCCTGCCTCCCTTTCGCCGCTGCGCACCTCTCCTCCTTCCTCCCCTTGCCCTTCTCCCCCGAGTCTCGGGGCGGCGGAGACGGAGACTTTCATCCGAGGAAGGAGTGTTGATGCGCCGCTGTTTGGGGGAGGCTCCCACCTCCCCTCGGCACTCGCTTCCGCTCTCGCACCTGCTCCAGTTTCCCTCGCCAACCTCCTGCCGTTCACGCAGTCTGAGTCGAGGGATTCTGCCGCCGCGAAGCAGAGACGCCCCAGCCCGCCTGCAGCGCTCGCGCGCCGCCCTGCAGAGAGACGCCCGGCGTTCGAAGACAACCCGCGGGCATTGCGGTTGGAACTCGAGGGACAGGAAATAAAGGATTTCCTGGAGTAAGGAGGAGCAGGAGGACTTTACCCACATCTCACTCGCTTCTCCTCCTCATCTTCCTCCTCCTCCTCCTCCTCCTCTTCCTGACCTCGTGCTTCCACAGTGGCTCGACGCTACTGCCTGGCAGTGGGTCCCACCTCAGGATCCGTCCTTCGCGAACCCGTTTGCTGACGCGGGCTGGAGTGCTGCCTCCGTTGCGGCCCCGCCACGCGCGCTGAGCGGGTCGGTGCCGTTCGATTCCGCCTGTGTGTTGCCTTCTCCAACCGTCAGGCAGGTGGGGCCGCCTCCGGGCCTCTCTGGCCTGCAGGCTGGCGACCGCGTGCCACCTTCGGTCATCCCGCGCCTAGCTGCCGCCGCCGATGGGCTGCCGTTGTCTCCTACCGACATCGAGCAAGGGGCCAGGGTCTCGGGTCCCCCGGTACCCCCACTCCGGCGGATCCCGCCTCCGCGCCCAGCGTGCACGCCCCTTGGTACCGCTGGCACGGGAGCGGGCGATCGGATGCCGACGCCGCGCCCGCTGTGCGCGCCCGTTACCGCGGTTGGGGCTCCTCTGACTAGCGACGGGAGTCCGCAGTGGACCACAGTCTCGGGACTCGCTACGTTCCCGCTCTTGTGGACCCCACCGCCATCTCAAGGCGAGCCAGCTGCTGCCGCTGCCGCCGATTCGAGCCCTCGCAGCATATCGCCGTCGGCCGGGGGGCGCCCTGTCCGCGGCTGCCCCTCCGCGCCAAGAGGCTGTGGTTGGGACGAAACCAGCCGCCGACGCCGCGGCTTTTTGAACGGCTTTCGTTGCAGCTGCCCGCCAGGCCACCCTTACGCCTGCTGTCGCAGCGGCGGCCTTCGCCGCGGGCTCGCTCCGCTCTCGTCCTCACCCGAGCAGCGTGGTTCGAGACGCGTGCGAGGCGAGGGATCCGCCTCCAGCTGTGCCTGCTCAGGCGGAGCATTGCCCTTCTGGGGAGATGGCGCCATCTGCCCCCGCAGTAGGGGATTCTGGCGTGGGCCTCCGCGTTTTCAATGCGGGTCCCAGGACGGGCCGCGTCAGTCCCCTCGGCGCTGGTCGCCGCGTGGACCAAGCGGCCCTCGGCCGCCCCTTTGGAGAGGCCCTTGCCACCGTCAGGCTTCGATGCCGTCGAGGGCCTCGACCTTCTCGAGGCGGCCGGCGGGCAGGCCTTGCCGCCGCTGGGAAGCACTGCCGTGCCGCCGGCAACCCTCCTGGTGCAGCTGCTGCGCCTACGGAGGCCCTCGCCCTTGCGGTTTCGGGGGCCCCTGCCCAGGCCAGCCTCCGCTCAGATCAAGGCGAAGCCGCCTGTCAAGGGAAAGGCTGGCGCGACGTCGTCGTGGCGGTGCCGCCTGACCCCTGTGAGGACGGCGCGCGAGGCACCTTGCCTCGTCCCTCGGCCGCCCGCGCCAGCGCCGCAGCTGCTAAGCGAGCCTGGGACGAGTGTGGTCGCGAGGGTGGGAATGCGCGTCTCTAGCGAGGCTGTTTCGGCGCCGCAGGGGGAAGTTCGTTCCGTCAGCGCGATTGCCACTCCCCGTCGCACGGCTCCCAGCGCCGCTACGGCAGGCGTGCCGGGCACCAGTCGCACGCGCCAGATCCCGACCTGCCCCGGTTGCTCGGGGCATGCGGGGAACCGTCCGCGCCCCTGCCTGGTCTGGTCCCCGCGTTCGGGACGGCTCCCAGCGAGCCTCGGCGGCCAGCGTTGGGCCCGCTCCGGGCCGACTGGCTTCTTCGACCCAGCTAGCCTCTGTTGCGCGCGTAGGGCCTCCTGAGATCTGTGCGGATCTTGCGAGCCCTCGTGACCTGCCGCGGTCGCTCGGAGGTGCCTTCTCCGCGTCCCAGCCAAGCTCTGCCTTGGGGCCGCCAGGCGCGAGTCGGATGGCTTGTGCTGCCAGCGCGCGGGCCTCTGCGAGCGGCGGCGCCCGCTGGAGCCGCCGCGACTCGCCGCAGTCGCTCGTTGTGTGTGGGAGCCCCCCCGTGGCCTTGCCAGGCTCAGCTCCGGCGGTGGCGGCCGCTGCCCGCGACTCCCCCGGGTCTGGCGACCCGGTTGTGCCTTCGGCGCGACCTCAGCTCGGGGCTCGGCCAGGGTTTACCCTGTCCGCCAGGGTTCGCCGTTGTCACGGGCCTCGCCGCCGCGGCGGGCGGAGAGCCCGAGGCCCCGCCGCCCGGGCCCCCGAAGCAGTCACCGGCAGCGTCGGGAGGCCCGCTCGTGGCCGAGGTTCGGGGCCGCCTCTAACGCCCTTTTGTACTGTCGCCGCCGCTCGGGGTAGATGGGCCGAGAGAGGCCGCGAGGGTAGGCATGCGCCCCGGCAGCGCGCCCCTCGCTCGGCTTCGACGCACCCCCTTGGCCCGCTTGGCCGCGGCTCGCCGGTCCGAGTTCCACCCGTGTGTGCGCGGAGTCGGCTGACGATGTTGCCTGTTGCGGCCCCGCAGGGAGGAGTTCGTTACGCCATCACGAATCTTGCTCGGCCCCAGGCCCCCCGCGAGCCGAGACAGGCCATGTTTGCCGGTTTCACCGCGGTATTGAGGCCCACTCTCCTGGGGCTTTAGATCCGACGCCCGCTGTCTCTACCGGGCGCCGCTCTTGGTGCCGAGGCCCCCGCTCCTGGGGCTTTAAAGTCGAGCAGTGTGGGGTTTACCGGTGCTGCTAAGGACGCGCCGTTCATCGCGGACATTTCTGCCTTGCCGCGCCTTTTCCCTGGCGCTGGCATCGACATCACTCACTGGGCGGCTGCGTTGTCTCAGGTCGGGATGGGGGTTCGATGTTCACTGGCTTCATTCTCGCGCTCATCCATGCGCCCGCTGGATTGGGAAGGCTGCCACCCTGTGGAGCCCTCTCCCCGCGATCCATGGCCGTGCACCCCCAGGCTCCACCTCTCCTGCCGCCTCCTTCTGCTATGGATGGGCGCGCGCGGGATCAGTGGCGGCTGCGGCGCGCAGCCCGCACGTTAGCTCAACAT